TTTGGGGACTATTTTGCCCTACAATGTCCTGCATGTCCCTCTCTTCCATAAATGACGTTTTAGTATATGTAATAACTTTTGATGAGAAAGCTTTTAAAGGCATTAAAGTCTTCAGATGTCCGGTTCCTATCACCACCACTGTGAACAATTCTGACTTGAAATGGTGTTCCTCATCAAACCACCCTGAATGACTTTGTTCACATCTTAATGATTTAATTTTGCAGAAACTGAAATCTCTTTTAATAGAATTTTTTTTTTCTAGGTTGGATTACGACTCTTGCACAGTACTGTTCATTCAGTTTTCCAGTGGTGACATTAGTGACTGTATTTCTGTCCAGCTGTTTGTGGAGTGGATAATCTCATACGGTCAGTGTCCTGAGTGCGCTCCATGCTGCTGTTGCGCGTGTCTGTGCCGTCCTGCTCTGCTGTGGCCAGTTTACTTCACATGCCATTCATTCATCACATCATCTGCATGTCTGCGGTCAGAGGAAGCCACATGGGAGCAGGTGGAGTGCAAAGGGTCAAGCCAGTGACAGGGGAGGGACTGACAGGGTGAGGGCGAAGTGACCGCACGTCTATAGTGAGGTGACTTTGTGCTCCTGATAAACACCTCCCTCCATTTTTAGAAGCCACAGATTTTGGAGGATCTTCACTCTGACACATTCACATTTAATCTCAAATCAATGACACACAGTGGAACCTAAAGAAACTAGCTGTGAAAACTGTAAGCTTAAATCATCAAGTAATCTCAAACAGTTGCGTATGTGGTTTCTCATACTGTATGACGTGCCAACCGAAATGGACCACAGTATGGACAAAATACAGGCATTAAAGTGGCTGCTAATGTTTTAGCTATGCAATATGCAAATGTCCATTTTTATAGATATTATACAGCATCAGAAACCACATAAGCAAATTTCTTTGAGGTAGGTTAGTGTGTGATGATTTAGGCAAGCAGTTTTCACAGTGCTAACTAGTAGCTATTAGCTCGTTAACTCCATTATCCCCATTACTTTAGTACAAAGACCGCAAACGTCTTGGCCGATTAACTACATTTGCGGCAAAATGACTGTGTAAATTTAATAACTGATTGAAGCACTGCTTTAAAGTCTCTTTTGGCTGGTTTCTTAGATTACAACAAAGCCTAAACTGATAGTAGGAGCATAACAATTCACAAAATTTATTTGGACAGTTTCGCTGATTGCCGATAGCGACAAACCTCTCCGCAAAGCAGAAGTCTATGACATTTTGGGGTGGTATCTGGGGTGGTCAATCAGATTTCAGGGAAGGGCACCAGCCATCCCTGCCACCCCAGCCACCCCTTTAAAACTATGCATGTTGATACAATACAATTCAATGCAGTACAGCAAAAGGGGTACCTGAAAATCTGTCTGATGTGAGTATGCTGATGATTCCATTTTTGCTTTATAAGCATTATTCAGCATTATAGAAGTACTATATTTTACGTAATGCACTAACCACAAGCTAGTATGTAAGCACCAAGCTAATATATGTTTATGCAAAGTGTGTTTTTCCTCCCTGCTCTCCATTTTGAGGTAAAGAGGAAGCAATATTTTCAGAGGAGAGAGGGTCTGCCTTTATTGTTGGCTTGTTTAATTTCAATTATACTTCTTGCAATATAGTCAGCATTAAACTGAAGAATTTATTTGCTCCAGTCTGTTGAATGTATTGTTCGATACCTGCACGTATTGAATTGAGAGGCTCATACTGAACGATACGTTATTGTTACCCTCTTACTATATAGTTCAAGACTAGGTTTAATTCATGTCCAAGAAACCAGCCCCTTATGTCTTTATGAGTGCTAAGTTATTTTCTTAAACTGAAGGGCACTTAATGCCCTTGTTTATATACACTGATTACATAAAAAACATTCTTAATTATAGTGCATCAATCATAAGGGTCACCTCTATTGTTGCTAAACGTCTGACAGCTGCAGAAATCCGTGAGAAAATTTCCTAATGTTGTAGATCTCTCTCTTGCCTGAGTGGCCAGTAGAGGGAGCTGTTATCAGGCGCTTCGGCACAAGCACAAGCACAGCCATGTGATGAGACAGAGATACAGAGGTACAGAACAAAAGGGAATTCCTGTTCTTTTTTAATTCTGCTCTTCATCCCCAAGTGGACCCGGAGCGTAGCCCATCAATATAGCCCGTCAGAACTATATTTTGCGCTCAGAGGATTTATTTATATACATAACTGTCATTACCCAGACACAGGTAACCAGATTTAAATTGGAAATTTATTCTGTGCTTCCCAAATATGCGCTCAGTGAGCTGAGTGAGTGAGAGACAGAGAGAGAGAGAGGGAAAGAAAGAGGGAGAGAGTATGTGAGCGTGTGTGGAAGTGCCGTTCAGTGCAGTGCTCTTGGCTGAGGTCAAATACGTATTTCCAGTGTCTCTGTATTAGAAATGATTTCAAATGATCTGAAACAGTGACACAGACGAAATTAGAGCAGCAATTGAATTAACGTCCGACAGCTGTGTAATGAGCTCAAATATTGGCCTTTCTCTATCGGGACGAGTCTCTGTGAAGAGGCTGCAATAAAAATATCTCAGAGAAATGATGGTGAGTAAACATTTGAAACTACCTCTAATACATAAAACATTTCAAAACACTCAAAACACTTATTTGACCTTGGTGAGAGTGTGTGTGCGTTAGGGTTGGGTGGTATAACAGTAATAAGGTATAGTTGGATCAAAATGATGACAGTAGTTCAAAATTATGTCACGTTTCTTTTCTACGTCTATCTAGTAAACGGCCAAATTAACACATTCTGCCCATTCATATTTGGGGTGGGGGGTAGTCTGCAAGACTTGCCTGAAAGCCCAGCTGAAAAAAGACCGTTAGAACCTTTAGGAGTGAAACTTGATGGCTTTGCTTAAAGGTTACGATTAGAGCCTGTAGAACACCTTAATATCCCATTAGGAAACCTTTAAATGCATCTGGAATTAGTCACAGAACACCTGTTTAACCATTACAATCCCTTACAGAAAATATTCCAGTTTTCAGTTTGTGACAAATAGTTTTATACATTTATACATCCCTTTTTTCTGTTGGACTTGTCTGATAAGTCATTTTTCTTACCTAGATAGCAGCAACAATATAGATATAAATGCAATGTAAATCTTAAAATCTTTGTTCAGCAACGTGTTCCTACTCTGTTTAGATGGTTTACCAAGGTTATATCCCATCACTAACTCGGTGGTAAAAGTTCAATTCTACTGTGAGCGCAATAACTTTGTTAGGCGAACATAGATCTTGTTCAGGATTGACGACTCGGTGAGTGATTTCAATTTTTTACACTGAATTAATTTATATTTACAGCCGTTCATATCTTGGAATTAGCTAAACTGTTTAGCTAGCTTGCAGTCTCTGTTTGCCTAAGTCTCTCATCTCTGCAGCAAGTAAACAAAGGACAGAGTAAGCTCTTCACTGCAACATCGCTCAACAGGCAAAACTGTAGCCAATATGTAACATATTAGCATGTATTTGGCTAGTTATCCTTGTTTATCTCTGCTTAAGCTAGCAGGCTACAGTCTCAAACACCACAGAACAGGTTCAGTTTTGGCTTCCTGTCATTCCAACACCGGTCCCTCAACTTTGCTTTGTCAGATGTGAGTTTTTATGGTCTACACTTGTTTCAGCAGAGCACCAGTTAGACAGAATCAAGTCTGTACTGTGGTGGGTGGCACTGATTGGATCTGTAGCCTGCTTGCTAAGCAGACATTAGGTTAGCTGCCAGGCTACAGATCTAAATACCATGGAATGGGTTTAATTGTGCCTTTCTGCCCCTCCAAGTTGCTTCACTCCCTTAGATTTCACTTACTTTCACCTAAACTGGCATCAGTGAGTGCGTTTACATGCACTCAATAATCTGATCATAATCCGATTTCTGCAGTTATCTGATTATTCAAATGGTCACATAAACAGCACATTCTGATTTCTTAGATTGGAGTAAGGTGTAGAAATCCGATTAAGAAACCTGATAAAGAGTGCTTGATTTTAGTTCAGTAATCAGATTTCTCAGTGCGTGTGAACACTTACTCTGATTTCCTTCGGATTTCTCAGTCTGCACATGTGCGAAAACAGACGGCGGTACTGGAAATAAGCAAGCAGTGTTGCACAGAGATGGCAGCAAAACACTTTTGGAGCGATGCTGATACTACATGCTTGACGACATGAAGGATTTAAATATTCTTTCATTTTCTAGATGAAGTATGTTTATATTTTCAGCTAAAGTGGCCGATGTTTATAAATTAAGCTGCAGCATGAAGTTTGAGTTTTACGATACATTGAGTCTCACGATACGCAGAAATCTGATTACTGTCTGACTCAGGTAGACCTGGAGTTTCACATTATCTGATTACGCAAGTGCACGTAAACTCGTTCATTGGATTAATGGCAAAATCTGATTTTCTGCAGTTATTGGATTATTAGGCGTATGTAAACGCACTCAGTGATCCAGTTAGCCATAAACGAACATGTTCTGTGGTGAGCAGAGCTGTTATCATGCTAGTTGTTAATTCTAACCAGCTCCATTTAGCAGCGCTGTTTAACCCTACCAAATGATAGCAGGTAGATGTTTTTACATTTACTGAACAATTTAAACATGAATTTCATGTTCATGCACTGTGTTCACTTATTTGGTGACTGTATAAGCAAGCTGGCCTTTTTATTTTAATGTTTTTAATTTTGAAATGCAGGATGAGATATAAAGCTTTTCTCATTTTCACACTTTTTTGCACTCTGGTGTTATTGTGTACTGTAATATTTGGAAGTGCTTTAAAGTTCTGAAAAAAAAAGGTTGACACCACCCAACCCTAGTGTGCGCTGCGTTCAAAAGTGCTGGGTCATGGGCTGGGCGCCATGCATGTGGAAGATGCTGTGTCGGAAAGCAGGAGAAAGAGTGAGAGAGAGAAAAAGAGAGAGAGACATAGAGTAAAAGCACTGGCGATGTGTGTTGACGGAGAGATTGCTCACCAGACAGCTGCTGAACGGCGGGCTGCTCGTGTGTACTTAACAACTGAGCCTGAATCGTCTCCACCACTCGTTTGAAGCGTCGGCTGGGACCTGCCAGAACACACACACACACACACACACACACACACACACACATAAGCACATCCATTTCAAAGCTATTTAACAGCTACTTGTTATACAGCTGTGATTCTTTCGCAAAATACTGCGATTCTGACTAATGAAATGAATGTACATTTTACGCTGTTGCATCTCAGGTTTATTCCCCTTAGCAACAGCCTCATAAAGACTAATGGGATCATGGTAGATTTTATGGTGCGTTGGCCAGCGGCTCACTTTCTGATGCACACATTAAGTTTAGTGGCTTACAGAGCGAAATTCACCCTTAGACTGTGTTTTTAGACTGTATATATATATTATATATATATATATATATATATAGAAAGAGGGAGAGAGAGAGAGAGAGAAAGAGAGAGGGAGAGAGGCATGGATATCTATATATATATACATATATATATATATATATATATATATATATATATATATATATATATAGAAAGAGGGAGAGAGAGAGAGAGAGAGAGAGAAAGAGAGAGGGAGATAAAGAGAGGGACAGAGGGAGAGAAGTGGGAGGGAACTGTCCTTTGAAACACAGCGGGTTGAAAATGAGAAATGATTACCAGGAGGCAAAGGAGCCTCTTTTTACTTGAATCTTTTCCAATGCAGCCCTGAGCAGTGCGACTATTTTAAGCCTTTACGCAAGTCGGGGGAGGACAGAGGGAGGAGGGGACGACGAGCAGAATCAGAGAAAAAATCTCTCATCGCAGGAAAAAGGCAAAGTTCAACACAATCAACCACCAAGAGTCCATCCATTACGCTCCATGGCCCCTCCCCCGCTCCTCTGATTGGTCAGAGGGCAAATTGATGACATCACAATAGGCTCTTGCCGTCGGCATGGTTACCTGAGAGCAGGGTGAAGGTGACGGAGTAGATGCCGTTCTCCTTGGTGGCCGATGTGCTCTCCGTGTAGGTGATGTCCACCTGGAACTTGACGGGTTTCTGGAAGACGGTGGGGCCGGCGGTGGACTTGTACTCGGCCCGGAAACTCGTCTGGGACACCACACTGTGGCTGAGGCTGGGGATCTGAGAGAGAGCACAGATGAGAATTTCACCTTTCTCCTTTAAAGAGGAATTTCACTGATTTGTGAAGATGTCTGCATCATTGAGAGGTTAAGATGTAAACAGACCCTTTCAGAGTGGCCTAGAGAAACTTGCCAAATCAGAACAGCTCACAGTGGTGGTGACAGAAACTGGAATGGTCTCTCACCTGTAGTCATACAGCCTGTTCTCATACTAATACCATATCACTTCTGTCGGAACAAAACCGCGTATCTCCAAAATGGTAACTTCACAGGAGAAGGAAAAAACATACTTTACTTTTAATGTAAGTCAGTGGAACCAGATTTTTTTCCAAGTCATTCTGGGCTGTCTCTGTAAGTCCATTCATCGTGAAATGTTCACACAATGTAAAGGGCAACAGGCATTTTCAAACTATGTCTAAAACTGAAAAACAACAAAAATGGAGATACGAGGTTTTGTTCTGACAGCAGTGATATGCTGAAGTCTGATCTATCAAACTGCATATATACAAAAACAAAGTATGTAAGAAAAGAATCATTTAAGAAAATGGACAAAGTACCCAAGCTGAAGAACTACTTAAATCTACAGCTGCAGCTGCACTCACAAGGGCTACTGAGCTGCCATCACATCCTCCTCTCAAGGACACAGAGGATTAACCACAGGATGGGGAATACACAGCACAACATTCACTCACACTAGCCACAGCAGTCACACCACACACCTCCTTTATTCAGCCACTGTGCACATCTGGGTGTAATTCAAATAAGCTGCTATCAACACAATTGTATATAACCTTGACGTTTAAACGAAGCATGACACCGACTACACTAAAGACCGAAACGAAGTCTAAAAAGTGACCTTGTTCAAAAGTCAGAGACCACCATTCATTTAATTTCCAGTCAATGCGGCCATTAATCACAATTTATTTATTTTCAGGAGATATAAATAATCCACATGCATAAGGAAAAGTCAAAGGAAAATAAATGAGAAAAAACAGGAGTTTCCAAAACTGAAATTCAAAAAAACGATTAAAAAATACAGTAAAAATCTTCTGAAAAATCGTTTAAGACCTGATATACCCCAACACTGTCCCCTTCAGATAAACAGCACTTAAAGCTTTAACCTTTGAGAAAGAGGAGAAAATCAAGCTGCTTCCGATCAAACAATCCACAGGTGTTTCAGTCCATTCTTCCACTGTGAGAAGACAACTCAGCGCTATGAGTCTGGAAGGATTTGTAGCTGTCAACCAAATAAAGAACCTGCTGGTGTTCTCAGAATGATTGACCACCCCAAAGTCCAGACCTCAACATCACTGAATTGTTTGGGATTACTTGGATCATGAAAAACAGAAAATGCAGCCAACTCCAAAGACTGAACTTTAGAGGTAGATGTCTTTGAAAAGATGAAAGCAAGAGTCCTGAAAAAATCGAAGCTGTAATAAAGGCAGAGAGTAGACACACTAAACACTGAAAAAATGATATTACATTTAGTTGTTGAGGTTCCTTTGTTATGAATAACTTGATGGCCATTTTTACTGGAAATTAAACTAATGAAAGGTGGTCTCTGACCTTTGCACAGAGCTGTACACGCACATACACCCACATCCACACTCGGACTTACTGAGAGAAAGGCGTGGACAATGTCCGCTTTGATTGAGCTCAGAGGTTTGTCCTGGATCACCACGAAGATCTGCTCCTCTTTCTCCAAATTAATGAAATTACCAAACCAAGACTTTTTGGCAAGTCTGGAAAGAAAGCAAGACCAAGAGAGAGTGAGAAAATGTACCAAACAGGAGATAACAATCCACGATGGAGAAAAGAATATATGAATATTTGCCAGTAATGGCTTCTTTTATTCACAATAGCGTAAGTGCAAAGTGTCCTGTACATGCAGTGACTTCTAGGAGCCACAAAAAGAAAAGCTGTCAGAGTTTTAAGTGGCTGGATTTGCACCCATCAAAAAGACTAGACAGGGGATACGGCCCTGAGGAAATAACATTACAGAGAAATCATAACAGAAGAAGTGCTCCCTTGACAGGCCTCGTCTGTGGTAAATAAGGCATTTCACACAAACACACTGTCTGACATTTAAAGAGGACTCGGCTAAAGATGAGACCTCTGTAGAGTGAGAGATACAGTAAGCTGTAGGGCTGAACGATACTGGAAAAGCCAAGTGATGTTTTAGATTTCTGTGATAAATATTGTGATACTACCAAGATATTCTATTCCTGAATGGAGCGATTTATCACTATGACTTTGAAAAGGATCCAACTAGTTCCATATTCTAGTTAACTCATTAGAACAATTGTATTCCACTATCATTTACTACGGCTGCACGATGTGAACAAAACACCATATTGTGATTATATTGTTATACATCTACACAATGCAGTTGTGATACGCCTTGCAACACAGCACATGAAAACACATTAGTGAACCTGATCAAAGATTTTATTGACCAAAAATTTTTCTGCTTGAATCCCTTGATTCAAGGGTGGCACAGTGGGTAGTGCTGGTGCCTCACAGCAACGAGTACCTGGGTTCAATTCCCCGGCCGGACGACCAGGGTCCTTTCTGTTTGCATGTTCTCCCCATGTTTCCCCCCACATTCCTAAGATTGGACATGCTAAATTACCCCTAGGTGTGAATGTATATGTCTGTGTCGTGCCCCGTGATGGACTGGCGACCTATCCAGGCTGTTTCCTGCCTTCTGCCCAATGGCCGCTGGGATAGGCTCCAGCTCCCCCTGCGACCCAGAAGGATAAGCAGCCAGAAAAGGTGTGTGTGCACCTGTAATCGTTAAATCATCCACAGAAACTTATCTGGACTATCCTAGGTTGGTTAGAATGCCCACAGTGCACAATATTAATCAGCAAACAACATATCATGTAGCCCAAATAGGTTGCAGATGAAAAAGGGCTATATGAGTGGAAAATGCTGCCTCTGGAGGGCGCTGTCACAAACATCTAATCCAGTCTACTACAAAAGCATCTTGAGAAGACATTCTGCATATGAGGTTGTGAATATATGCATGCATGTTCTTATCTAAACCATTGATACTGTGTAAAGCAAGGTAAAGCTAACAGCCTGCTTATTAACAGCACATCCATTTTATTTGTAGCTATTTAGTGAACTGCCTGCTTCAGCACTGGATTGACATTTGAGATTTACAGCAAAGGATAATGATTTAGGGTTTAACTATTAGTAATCAAGTGAATCGATCAATTTATTTTGATGATTGATGGTGTAATCACAGTTTTTAAAAAAGGCTGAACAATAAAATTAAATTATATGAGCAAAAACAAAATATACATAGCTTTTCAAAGACTCCCAAATGTATTGGATAAACCAGGCAGCCTTTAAAAAGTATAGACATAAGAAAATACTTTATATGTCCAAAAGTATTTAAACATTCTAATTACTGAACTCAACTACTTTAAGGTGCACCCACTGCTGACACAGGCATTCAAGTTGCGCACACACAGCTTGTATAATATCCTTAGAAAAGAACTGCCAATAGGACATGACTGTCTGAAGCAGCCACACATGAACGTAAGGTCACCATGCCCAATACCAAGCATCTGCTAGAGGGATATAAAGCCCCCCCAGCACTGGACTGGGGACTGATGGAACACTATTCAGTACCTTTGGGATGAGCTGTAGTGGCGTTTGTGATTAAAAACTAATCATCCAACATCAGTGCCTGACCTCACCAATACTCTTGTGGCTGAATGCAATAAAACCCTCAAAGCAATGTTACAGCATCTAATGTGAAGCCCTTACAGGAGAGCGGAGACTGTTACTATTGCAAAATTGGGGCAAACTCTCTGTTAAAAGCCTTGATTTCAGAAGAAACAGTGGATGAGAAGGTGTCTACAAACATTTGGACATCCAGTGTATATCAAAGGATACAAATGTGTACAAATGCGTGTCTCTATCAGACTCCTACTGCAAAAAACACCAGTAAAAAATATGAAATACGCATTATAATCATCAGGGCCGCTTCTTGCTTTAAGTGGTATAAGCAGTCATTTATGACCTCCGAGCCACCAGGGAGCCCTGAATGTTTAATTTAATTGTAGTATTAAATTTTGTTCGCAGAAAAATCATAATGAGTCCAAATATGTTCTTATTTTTCCAGATGAAAATTAATTAAACAATACTTACAACCGTATGCTGATGTTTGAACAGCCCTGCTCAAATGACATTAATATTTGTTGAACATGTTAACACATTCTCTACAGGGAACAAACTAATTTCAGTGCACAATTTCTTATTCAGCCAATAAAAAGTAACTGTGCATTAAAATATACAGAAGTGTGTTCTCTGTAGAGGATGTGTTCAATTATTTTTACTTAGAAAACCAGCAAAACATGTAATTTCACCAGGAGTGCATACAACTGTATTTTTGTATTTCTGTATATAAAGGAATACACTTGTGGCCCCCAAATATTTTGAAATGGCCCCACTAATTAAAACACCAAACCTGAAAACACTAATCACTGTCCATTTATCGAGAATGTAAATTTAAATCAACGCTGTGTTTAATCCATGAATTAGGGCTGACTATTAACATAGGAGTTAGTGAACTGCTGCTGCTTCATATGAGATAAAAACTCTTAAAGAAAAAGCCTTGGTGGAGGGAGGTCAGTCACAGGCTTGTGGTTTGAGGTCTGAAGGCTGATGCATGGCTCATTTCCCCACCCCTCTTGAACTGTGAAGCATGCTGGGATTTTGCCACAGAGCATGCTTATCTAGGCCAGCACATGTAGCTACTCTTTCCCCAAAAACCAGAGGCAGCACTGCGAAAGCTACTTCCCAACAAAGTGGATGGCTTGACGGCCTTTGGAATGTGGCTGTGAAGCTAAGCAAGTGGAACAAAAACACTGAAATATTAATGCAGAGCAAGTCCCTGATAATGTCACCATCAATAAAACAGGGTAATGGGAGTCAGCCATGTTTACGCTACTACTTTCAATTCGGCTCAGTTTAAAGTTGGTTTAACTCTGAACTTTGCGTATTTGTTAAGGTGAAATATATTTCTGGAGCAGGAGTCGGGCAGGCCGTGGCTGTGAGTCTGCACAGCTGATTCAGTCCTGCACGGCGGGGCTGATGAATGTGCTCTTAGGGGTGGTGCACTTAGAACTCTTTGTAATTGTTTGATAAAGCAGGAGTGCATTAAGTGTGCTATAACTTACTCGGGGGAAGACTCCGGTGTTAGGCTGGACATTTCCTCTTGTGTGGGTACTGCAAATAGACAGGACTAAGAGTCATGATTGGGGCAATGAAACATGGACTGAATCATCATTTATCACAAAGTAAAGCGAAAGAGACCAGGCCTCCATGAACCGCTACCTGCAGCGAATACTGATAAAGCACGGCTAATTATTCTGAACCTTAAGAGCTTTTCAACATTCTCTGCTATCAGTGCACCTGATCTTTCCCTCCAGAGAGAGAGAGAGAGAGGAGAGAGAGAGAGAGAGAGAGCTGGAGGTTAGAGGAGATGCTTATAAAGGTTTTATTATCATAACTACTGATGTGATATTAGATAAAGCTGGTAATGGCATCAGCTTTTAGCCTGCTGATTACAGATCACAGACCTGCGAGAATTCCCATGGCTGAACAGGCAGACAGAGAATGAATGCAAATCTATAGAGTTCAGCAAACAAGCACTGTCATCTTGACTGCTTATGTTTCAGTAAATAGGTTTTAGATGTTACAGTAATAGTTTGGGGGATACAAACAACCAAACCAACCAATCAAGAAAAAACCTCTCTTCCAAGTGTAGATCAGTTTGGTGTCACAGGCTCGCTTTTTTAGTTTTGCAGTCGAGCTACAAGGCTAATGTAGCTAATAAGTGGTGGAAGCTGTACCCCACCAATTAGCAACAGGGTAGATCAGTTTGGTGTCTGAAATGTGCTTCTTTAGTTTTGCACTGGATCAACAAAGCTAATGAAGCTAATAAGCAATGGAAGCGTATAATCCACCAATTAGCACTAAGCATGGCTAAACGCCATTAAAGGCAAAATATTCGAATGTATTTTAATGTTTTGCATAAAAATAGAAAATGCACTGCTGAATGTCTTCAAAAGACAAAAATATATCTTTTTGCTCCTCACAAAAGGGCAAAATGGTGGCACTGGGCAGGCTACTTCCATTTTGGAAAAGTGAAACAGCTCGGATGTCTGTAGCCCTGTTTGAGTTGCTTTTGATGATACAGCATCACACTACCACAAAGCAGAAAACAAACCTATATTTTTGATGTTTGTTAAAAGGTTCAGGTTGCTGGGTCACAGTCGCTCTGTCATCTTTGTTGTGACCATGCCAACACCAGAGACAACAGTAACTAGCTGAATGAGTACATGTTATGAAAGCTGCACAAATTAAAAATTGCTGGCCTGCAAATTTTGCTTAGTGTGCAAGATACCAGTTATACATTTGTTTCAAATAATTTATTAATGTCTGATCAAATCGCATAAATAAATTGCATTTGGTATGCAAAGGCTATTTGAGATTGCTTAAGAATTTAGTTTGAGGCAAGTGCAAGTAATTTAGGCGTGTACAATGCTAACTGGTGTTGTATAAGCCTAACTTACTATTAGCTACATTAGCCTCAAAGCTCTAGTGCAAAACTTGATTTTAGACACCAAACGTCACTGTAAAAATTCTTAGTACCAGTTTCTATTAGCTTTTTCTTCTTTGTGTTAAACTGACCGACATTCTGCTGTCAGCACTAAAAGATGCTATAGAGGTAGGTGAATTATGAAACTCTGCATGGTAGCCTTCAGATTTTTCAAAAAAGGCAGATGTATGCAGGTTTATGATGTGTATTATGCCTAGCATGATGTGATAGATCCTATTCTGCCTTCGCAAGGAATTTCCTGTTGGTCTTCAAAATGACTGTTTTTTCCTTCTCCAAAAAGTTACCATTTTGGGAATACAAAAAATCTACTAATATGACATTACAAACTAAAAATGTGTACTGTTGACTTGAAATTTGAAAAAAACTTATTAGATCTGGTTTAACAAATTCATCTTCTTTATTTTAAGAGAGAAATCTTTACAGAGGCTAAAGAAGCTTGTTTTGAAGGATTTTTGCTCCATCAGTTCGCTAAAAAATGGTAATTCAAGCTTTTATTAAGTTATTATAAACGTTGTTCTGTGCTTATCATTACCTTGCAGTTTCCTGCGGTGGAACCGCGGTGAGCCGAGGAAGCTGTTCTTGATGGAGTTGAGGCGTGTCCTCCAGGGCATGCCCCCGATGGAGGGGCTGGGGGGTGGCGTGGGGCTGGGGGTCCCGGCTGGGCTCTCCTTGGGCGTGTGCACAGGTGTCCCTTTGGGGGTCGGGAGGGGGCTGCCCCGGGGGGAAGGGTGGGGAGTGACCTGTACAGTGGGGATAGATTTGCCGTTGTGGTCAGTCCCGGCCAGCGGGTGCAGGTGGTGGTGGTGTAGCCGGATAGGCGAGAGGGGCGGAGCCTGAGAAAGAGGGATGGAGAGCTTGGGGGGTACAGTGAGGGGCGGCCTGCGCACCTTCGGGCTGTTGGGGACGGGTGGAGGGAGGTGATGGGTGGGCGTGGAGGGCGTCGAGGGCTCAGATTTGGCAGTTGAAGGTGTAGGCGTGGTGTTGGGGAGGGGGTTGGACCTGGTGCTCTGGAGGGGCTTTTCTGAGACTTTGGGCTTTGCTGGAAGGGTCTGAGTTTTGTTATTGGGCTGTAGGGCTCCTGTCTTTGGCTGGAAGGCATTGGGCGGGTGGGGGCCTGTGCCGTTGGCCCGGGGCGAGTGGGTGGGGCTGTGGTTGGGCGACTGCGTGAGCTCCGAGGATTGTGGGGGGACGAAAAAGCGCCGCACGGGCTGGGACAGCAGCAGCATATACAGCAGCATCAGCCAACACATCCCGCAGCCCACACGCACACACAAGCGCACGGTGCACGCACAGCCCACGCACGTCCCAGAGGTTAGCACGCACACACACCGACGGCACACATGAACGGATGGTGGACAAGGCAGCGGAGATGTGGAGCGATGGAGGGAGGGGAAAGTGCAGAAAAGAAAGAAAGAAAGAAAAAACATGCCATTAGCACAACCAGCCGAGAGGCAACAAGGACCATGGAAAGAAAATGTGCAGCATTTGCAGTGTTCTCGAAGCAAAAACCAGCCGCAACATAAAAAGAAAAGCTCCGGGTCTTTGTTGGAAAGAGAAAAAACTGCCAGAAGTGACCAAGCAAGCAGGAAATGGGCGCGTGCCACACGTGAGCAATATTCCAATGAGTCATAACTCTACGCTATTGTCAGAATGGTTTGTTATAAATATTTACTCAATATCTGTTGTAGTTCATTTAAATGAAATGGTCAGAATAATCATAATGATTAAAAGAGGTCATTCACAACAATAGCGCTACACTATGGAAATGGCCAGTTAAAATCAGGGCCATTAAGTGCATAGCTGAGCACGGTACTGTGATGCTGCTGCTTAGGAGATGACATGACAATGTTGTGGACACTAATGGCATCTATGGTTTAAACTAAGGCCACCTATTTTTCTGTTCACAAACCAGGCAGGGAAATGCCACTGATTTTTCTAGTGCATAGTTCAATCGCTGTGATGCAGACAGTCATTCAGAATGTAGTGATGTGAAATGGAAAATCCGGTTTCTTTACAGTGGTGGTGATGAGAACCAGGGGTCCTGATGTATACAGTGCAAATGTAGCCATTTTATTTACTACCAAAAACAACCAGTTAACCTACATCTGTCTGAGGTTTTATATGTAATGTTGATGATGGGAAAATAGCAGAAAATCAGAAAAAAAATGTTTTCTTTGGGGATTATTTTGCCTTACAATTCTCTCCATCACGAATGGACTTACATTATTAAAAAAAATACATTTTAGGCCAAAAACTTATCTTAAAATTACTATAAAATAAGGTGTCCTGCATCAACCAAATCAGTCAAAACCATTTCATTTGATGACATTCTGTGAGGGAGCTTTTAGAGGCATTACGTGCCTCAGATGTCTGGTTCCTACCACCACCACTGTGAAAAATAAAATAAAAAAAATCTCTCTGAATGACTTTGTTTACATTTTAACCACTTAATTAGACAGATAATTGGAATTCTCTTTAATATGTTTCACTAACCACAGAAATGATAACACACTCAGAACATCTCCAACAACAACTTACATAAGTACATAAATCAGTTACCAAGAACACTGCAGTTAAACTACTGTTCAAAAGTTTGGAACCAATGATTTTCATTAATATAACGCATCTATAAAATGACATTAATATGTTAATCCTATGTGACTCCACAAGTTTCAAATAACTATTAGCAATATGCAAGTAGGAATAAAAAATAAAAAAACTAAGAAATGTTACATATGTCCAGAATGATGAACAGAGCTGCAGATGTTTCTATAATGACTGAAAAAGCTGTAAAACATCATGAATGATACTGAAATAAATATTTAAAAATGCCTCAGGAGTTTCAGGAGTGGTGATCAAATCTTGAGGTAGATATTGTGACAAAAAATTGATTGTAAATAAATAAAATATATTTATCATGTAATAACTTATTGTTGTTCCTAAATTCTTGAGATATTTATAAAACATATAAAAATACATTTGGTATTTTTTTCTGAATTTTGATGTTAGAACAAAATAAAGGACCATATTTAAAACAATACAATAAGTACAATGATTTTTATTAGTCTCACTGTACTAATTATGCCCTCTTTACAATAAACCTTGCAGTTGTTCAGTGTTTTTAACCCCTTAAAATCCTAAGCTTATAACATAATAATAATAAGGCTTATTATTCAGTAACTACAGGGACTTCAACGCAAACTGGTAGAGCTATTTTTAGGTTATAGAAGTCTGTGATAAAACATTTGGCCCACCCACAGACCCTGGCCATTTAAGGGGTTAAATACTGACGATATCCATGATATTCTCAGAAAAGCATACGTTGATGGAAAGTGACATTTGATCACTGTTATGAAAGACAATGCTTATAAAACTATCAAAATTATTAATATGACAAGTTTCCAAGCTTTTGAACAGCAGTGTATATCTTGTAAGGAAACAAAGTTAAGGAAAAAAACAAAAAAAAAAAAAACAATTTGAAAGTCATATTACACACACTGTAAAATCTTGTTTCTGGAAAGCGCAGCCTATCACAGCTAAGTGGTAGCTGCTGAGCTACAGACTGTCTAACTCAAAGGCCCCTTCTTCCCTACGCGCTCTCTACAAAAGCCGTCTTTCATCCATCCCTCGGTCTCTATGAAACGCGCTACAGTAGGTATGAGCCTGCAGAATATTTCAGACTTTAGAATATTTGATCAGAGTGGATTCAAAGCAGGCTTTAGGCTGAATCCTGCAGGGAATTCACTCGTGTAACTCAAAGACAGCATATTGGGAAGACTTAGTGGTGGATTTGTAATCGGTTAGCCAGTTCAAACAAGTCAACTGTAAAAGCTGGATTCAGCTTGAGCTCTACTGTAAGTGAAGGGAGCAGGATTTTCAGATTTAACCAAGCCATTAGCAACCGGTGCCTTCCAATGTCTCAGGGCTACAATCCTCTGAATGAGGAATAGATTAGAGCTAATTACGCTGGGCACTGCTTTCTGATTGCACTTGCAGTAATGCGCAGTCTATTAGAAGGGACGGCCGGCAATTTTGGTGCTTTACCAGTGTTTTAGATGAAAACCTAGACCTCAAGCATGGCTAATAATCCACACTGTCTGGCTTCCGGAGTCTCGCTTTGAAGTCGTCGGCACAGAGCGCAGCTAATGAAAGGGCTGTTCTCTGCACCGGTTGGATGACATCATTTACAAACGGAACCTTTCCTGTCTTCTCTTTTTTACGTCTGCAGGATGCTGATGCTAATTGGCAAAATCTTTCTTCTGTTTTTTCAGCTTGTTTTGGTGCACAGGCGGAGGATGGCCTTACCCCATGCAAATTAGCCAATGTGTTAACTGATCCGAGGGATGTTTCAGTAATGGAATTCAAGAGAAGAAAAAAAAGCTAGTCCAGACAGTTTGGCCACGCAGGCTAAGAGGGCAACACATAAAGTTAGCTGGAGAAATGTAGCTGCATATACTGGCAGCTGTCTTTCAAAGGGTCCATATAATGGAAAACCGATTTTTCTCATTTTCATAAAATAAATGATGTAATATTTAATCACTGTTAAAGTTTCAGAAGATACTGATCATTTTCCAATCCAAATATGCAAACTCAGCTTAAAAAAACATCCCATTTTAAATTCATTGTTTTTGTGATGTCATGAATACCTACACATATACATATATCCCATTATTCAGCCAGTTTAGCTCCATCCATTCAAATCATGAAGAGTGTTTAGCCTGGAATCATGCACAGTACTGTGCAGCCAATCAGAACAGAAAAGATTTACATGTCAGGCACCGTAACAAAAACTTTGTCTTAATTGATTTTTATGACCATTTTCAGGTCTCTCATTATCCCTTAGATTTAAACAGGCTGTTTTGTTAAGACTGATATATGTAAATGTGGACTGTTCTGATTGGCTGCCCTGTATTGTGTCTCATCAAAAAGCAGTCCAGACTCTTTATAACATCAGTGTGAATAGGTGGAGATAAAGAGCTGTAGTGTGCAAAGGTGGATACATATGAATGCATTGTTTTTTGTGACATCACAACAATGAATTCAAAATCAGATGCTTTAGCAGGTGATTTACCATATGTGGACTAGTGAGTGAAGGGTACATTTGAAAACTCTGTAGTATGTTTACATTTCAACTCTTTTATTTCAAAAAGTGAGGAAAATTCAGTTCTCCATGATATGGGCTCTTTAAATAATATCAGTTCCCAGTCCTAGCCATACATTAAAAGGATTTTCAATAGTTAAAAGACAATGATTAACCGCATTAAACCCTTAAATTCCTACAATCATTAGAGTTACATTACATGCTAGGGCTTATTTTTCAGTTAGAACACAAAAAACAATGCCTTTTCTTAAGTTATAGGGGTCTTAGCAAGGAAACCAGGCCAATGTGTAATATTCTAATGGTATAATACCATAAAATGGAAGGGAATGCACTGTTTCTCTGCATGTCTCTGACATAAACAGAGATTGTGATATCAATGAATTTTCCATTCATCCACATTCTGTAGATAGACACCGCCTCCTCGGGAGGGAGCCTATCTAGGGAACGGCTGAGTATGATTTGGGACAGGCCCAGGCAGAGTGAACTGAGTGTAGACGGAGGGCTTACCCGTGGACTGCTGAGTGGGCTGGTGGACAAACCAGATGAGGCTCCACTGATGGACCGTGACCTAGCACAAGACAGATTTGCACAGAGACAATCACAACATGGTCACAATATACTGTATCTCAGATGCCTTTTAAGCTTCAGTATGTTGGGCAACATTGCATTAGACCAGAAAAACCAAGAAGTGGCCTTAACTCAGAGGGAGGTTTTCCTTTGGAGACATGTTGCCAATAAAGTGTAACAGTCCTTGTATAATGGTGCTCTGCTGAAGGATAATGTACTTAAGGATTCAAGTATTTTCAGTAGAGATCTATTACAGTAATGGACTTCTGCTGTTTACTGACGAAAAATCTGAACAGAGGAGAAAGTAGTTTTATTTTTATTGTCACTTGACAACAGCCATTATGTCATTAGACATTCTGTACCATTTACTGTAATGATAGACAATATAAAAGTTAATGATATGGCTGTACTTGTAATCACATTTTTATCATAAACAAGTTTTCATGATAAACTCATCGTTAAAAGCTGAGAAAGCAGAATAGATCAAATTACACACATGTGCTGCCAGACAAGTAATATGTGCTTTCCTGAGCCAGGCATGAACCGTGCAGTAGTGATGGCTACTGTCACAACAAATGTGCATCACTATAAGGCACTTTTTAAGCAATTAAATATTTATTTACTATTTTTTTAAGGCATAAATTAAATTTAAGAAATAAATGTATTTGTTTTTGTAAGCCTATATAGTAAAAGCTGTTCAGGCAAAGCTAACGTTTTTCAAAATAGCCTTACGATGCAGTTCTGATGTAAGTAGCTAATAGTATGAATTTTCCATGTTTTTACATTTTTGTCTTTGCTTTTTGCTTATATGAGGGTTTAGTCAGATTTGTGAAAAAAAATGCTGTCAAATCACAACCCCAAATCCAAAAATTATTATTTACATTATATTATATTTACAAATTATCCCAAATTTTTTGGAATTGGGGTTGTATAATTGTATTAATCATAATTTAGCGCTTCTCAAATCATCATTATATCCAACAACTTTATCAAACATTGTATTTTATGTTCATTTCACGCAGCCCTTGCAGTAAATGTTACAGAAAGTGATTTTTTCTCTTTGCAAGCAGCCAGTCTACAAGCTTAAAATGGAAACATGCAATCTGTTGACATGATATGCTACTGAAGATACTTGTAATCTCTTTCACAATAGGTAAGATGTAAACCTTTTATCTTCTTCACAATTTGCTTTCGCACTTTCTTTAACCACACGCGATATTGGGCCGTCAACGTGGACGGGCTCCCATGAGCATCTAGGATTTAATTGGCCGTGGACACAATGGGTTTTGTCATCAGAGGAAATTGAAACAGTAAATCATCATTAAATGTGTCAACAAACGCTCGCGTGATCTGCCTCCGAGGAAGGATCTGATCCATAAACTGATCAATTACGTATGTTACTTAAATGTGTATTATTCAACAGTCACAAAATGTCTGATCACTCGAGCAGAAAATCACAACACCAAACATATTTGAGTCTGATGCTGATGCTCGTTTTCTTTCCTCCCTCTTTCACTTAATTAGCCGCAAGTAACATGTCATAAATTCATGGGGGAATTTTTGCTATCATTCAGTCATTAGAGACCGAGGGTAAAACCTGATGTGATGTGACGCGTGTGCCTGCTGCTAGAGCAGTTAATGCAGTGTTGTAAAAGCCAGCACTGTTTATCAGTCTAAAGACTAGAAAGAAAGACACCCAGAAGAAGAAAGCAACTACAAGAGCAAAGATAAAGCTTTACAGCTATGACAATTAGATGTTCTATTACCTACAAGTGAAAGAGGGAAAGCAGGTATAGATATAGCTGTTCTACTGATAGATAAGAAGAGAGTATCTGCAGTTGAATGAACCTGAAGAATGAAAAGCTGTAAGATATCTGTGCCAAAGATGCAGGGGAGCTTTTTATAGAAAGGTAGAATAATTTGTACTGAATGCTCTTTCCATACACTGTTAATGCATAATGTGATAAAAAGGAGAAGCATAATAATAGTTAACAAGCATCAAAATTGTATGTAACTTATGTTACAACTTAAAGGGCCCATGTGTCACATTTTTCTTGTATTTTACCTTTTTTCTGGAGTCTGCTTATTGTATTTATGTGGTTTTACGCACCAAAAAGAGGCAAATTTCATTTTTACACGACCGTTTTCCAACCTCTTTTTATCCCTCAGAATCAAACTGGCTGTTTTTGTTGCTGTGCCTTTAAGACTGGTATATGTAAATGACCCCTGGTCTGTCATTACACTTCTGCCATTCTGATTGGCTGAGCTGCATTGTATGGCAGACCTTTGTTCTCAAAACATGTCAGAATCTCTGTATTAACGCGTACAACATAATTTCATGTTAAGACGCTAATTTTCAGTATTTGGGTTTTGTTGCTGTTGCAAAACCTTTGTAAATCATGATGTTTACCAACAGACCAAATAAGTTATTTTATTCTACACACACATATCCAATGTTCCTGAGGGTTGTAGTGGCCCAACACCTTACTAATTTACTAATTTACTAACCTTATTTAGTTTTTTCCTTTGTTATGAGTTAAACTGTCAAATGTTAGGAAACATCTGGTTGAATGTGTTTATCAGAATGCCTGAATGCTTGAAATTTGTCTTAAAGTCTTGTGCAATCTCGATTTCATTTCAAAAGAAAGTTACGCAAAGCCATTTTTTAAAACACGACTCCTTCAATTCCTCCTGGTTCAAAAGTTTAAGCTTATCAGCTCCTCCTTTAAGGGGATGCTACTTTTGCGTCATTCCCCTGTCTGGTGAGGTCAGCTCAGCGTAGACATAGGTAAGCACCCAGCTCACTATATCATAAATAATCCAAATGAAACAAAGGGGCTACACATAGGCTTTACGTTTTGTTGTTGGTTGTAATGTGTGAAGTAATTTCTATTATAAATATGCATGTATGTTCTTTATTTGAGGACTTTCACTGGCAGAGACCTTAAACAATATCATGAATAAATTTACGTGTTAACATGCAAAATTTTATGAATGTCTTAACGTGAATTTTTAAACATGTTTTGAGCCCAAAGACCTTCCACATCACTGTCTGTCTTTAAAAGGTCATCCAAGATGAAACACTCCTAATAACTTCAATGTGAATGGGCAGAGTTAAAGTGCCCTAGGATGACAATCGCACTGGATTTTGTGACATCACAAAAACATTGAATTCAAAAAGGCTTAGTTTCCATATGTGGACTGTATGGACTGAGGAATGTGTTAATGTTTACATACCACATCAAACTATCTCAAAAAGTGATGAAAATCCAGTTTTGCTTGATATAGGCCCTGTAATTAAAACAGTAAATAAATAAATAAAGCGAGTGTCTGGTGGATTAATTAAATATTGACTCCAGAAAAGAATTCAGGGTCAGTCATGGTCTCATTTCTGGCTGGCAGGCTGCGCTGCCTCCTGCTTTACTTCATTTAGCTAATTAATGCTAATGTAAAAGTGGACTGTGAAATCTTTAAACTCAGCTCCATCGCGCAAGGTCGGCAGCTGAAAGCTGGAGCGGGCAAACAGGAGCGGGCGAGATAACCTCTGTCTCTCAGCTAAACATACAAGGCGAGACTCAGACGGAAGCAAACAAACGACGCGGGGCGACTGCGGGAGGAGAGAGTGGGCAAAACAACAAGAGACGGGAGGAAATTAACCTCAAATTGGGATCTACCACGGGACAAAAAATGCCAGACATCAAACGGAAACATGAAAGGCGAAAGAAGGGAGATAAGATGCTTTTGATGTGTGTGAGAGAGCCAGAGGGGCGCAGCTTTGCCAAAACTGAGGGGACGAAAAAAAAAAACCCTTATTCATTCTTATTCAACTACCTCCATTTCCTTAAAGTTCAGTAGCGAGCTAATCTCCGCTCGTCGGACGAACAGCGCTATTAAAAAAAAAGCAATAGGGAAACTTCAGAGTGGAGATAAGTTGTCCAATTATAACACATCCACTCAATGTCAGTGGCTGAAGTTCCAAATCTGGCCCTACAGTAACTTGAGCAGAGTCCAGATGAGAATTAAAAACCCCACTGCATCTTCAGAGCTAGAGAGAGAGGACAGGGCTGATTTATACCTTTCTTCTTTGCTTTGCACTTTGGGGTTGGCATCTGAAATATCCAGGCTTTTACTGAAAACAGATTTACTACAGAAAGAACAAAGACGTTGATTACTACACTAGGAACTATCCAGCCTACAGTCAGAGTCACTGCACTACTGTACAACATACTGTGACTCTGTGTAAAAACCAGTAATCATATTCTTCATCATTCTTCAGTCATATTATAATTGTGTGACAGCATTAAGTGAGCAAATCAGCATGTACGTTTGTGCAGTGGGAAATGATTGTGAGATTTATGGAAATAGTAACACATGAAGATAAAAATAAAGATGAGCAAAGGACGATAAAGACTCAGTTAAGGCATACAGGATCTCCTTCATCTTTTCATTCTCAGCGCTTAGGCTCTAACCTGTCAGAGCCATCCACATGAAAGTGGAATAATGTGATGAGTCGGGCCAAATTTCACTCTCGTGCATGATTAGCAGGCAAAAGTGCCAACAGAAGAAGTGCTCTGCTTAGAGGAATATACCTCCCTGTGAAAATGGCATGATGAATGTTTATCTTATCAGAATAAAATATATATATATATATATATATATATCTTGTCGGTAACAAAATCTCGTATCTCCAAAATGGTAACTTTACAGGAGAAGGAAAAAATACACCTTATTTTTAATGCAAGTCAATGGAACCAGATTTTTTCGCAAGTCATTTTGGGTCATTTCCTTCAGTCCATTCATCATAAGATTTACACACAATGCAAGGGGAAACAGGCATTTTCAAAATATGTCAAAAACTGAAAAACGACAAAAATGGAGACACAAGGTTTTGTTCCGACATCAGCGATATATTTAGATACACTACCGATCAAAAACAATTTTTGATTCTGAGGTCAAGATTCCATTCAATTTGCATATTTTATGTGTTAAAATGTCTGGATTCTGCAAAGCTCTAATTATATTCTACACTGATTTGTTTGAATCAGATAAATCAAGGTTCTCAGACGCCTGCCGAGCCTAGCCATCTAAAAAATTAAAACCTCAAAAATCACCCCGTAGAATTTACAAACCACTTCATGAGCTAAGCCCAGTCATCTGAGCATGAGTGAGTTCTAAGCATAAGCCCCACCCCTTTCCCACCCATTTACTCCAATAGGATGTACTAAGAGGCTTAGTTTTGATTATCGACAGTGGTTTCCACAAAAAAAAAGCAAACGAGAGACTCTTAGAAGAGGCAGGAGGCCTGTTAGCGACGAGTTTTACATTCCAAAACACATTCGTTTTTGTGGTTTTTCAGTATTAAAATCTTTACACCCTTATAAAGGGTAATAAAGTGATTCTAATATGATGCTAGTGGTCTACAACCTCATAGTTTTCAATTTGTACAAAATCAAGACATTTTAGAAATATCCAAAATTGTAAACAGTAGTAGCTGATTCTAATAATAATAATAATAATTGATAATAATTGAGAGAGCTGTATAGCATTAGTTAGAGACCAATCTTCATTTATTTAAGTCCCGGTCAAAACAGCCATTAAGTAAGTTATTCATTTTTCAGTAGACATTTCTGAGATTATATATAAGATTATAGAAGAAGCCAAGGGAGTTTCCAAAACTAGACTTATTAAAAGCTATAAAGAAAATGGGACCCCTAACAACTGTGCAAGACCTGGTACACCACAAAAACTGTCCCCATCAGACAAACAGTATTTAGTGCTTTAATCTTTGAGAGAGAGGAGAAACTCAAGCTCCACTCTTGCTTCAAAAAAAAGTGTTTCTGTCCATCCTTCCACTGTGAGAAGACAACTCAGCATTGTGGGTCTGACAGGATGTGTAGCTGTCAAGAAGACCTCACTGAGAAAAGAAAATAGACAAACAAGAAGAAAATGTGCACTTGACCGCTGATACTGGACATCAGACATATGTAGTACGGTTTACTAATGTTTCTATTTGGGTTTACTAGGATTGAGAGAAGCAGTAAATGCAACCAACTTCTAAGGCTTTAGTTTGGAGGTGGTAGAAAAACATCCTTGCAGATCAGAAACTGAAAGCAAGTCTTTCAAAAAGAATGGAAGCTGTAATAAAGGCAAAGAGTGGACAAATTGAATACTGACAAATTTTGATTTTATATTTAGTTCTTGAGGCTTCTGAGTAATTTTATGTTATATATATTTTTTTCTGCCTTTTTCCTGACACTGAAATGAATAAATTGTACTTAATGGCCGTTTTGACTGGATTTTAAATAAATAAAGGGGTGGTCTCTGACTTTTGCACAATACTGTAGCTGTAATAACAAGAATAGTTGAGATCCAATTTCAGATAATTTGACGCGAACTGATTATAAACAGGTATTTACATTATATTATGTATCATTTAAGAACTTCTAGTTGTTCCCAAAACCTATAAATATTGAATAAAACATTCAAATATATTTATTTACTTCATAAATAATGCTAATGTTAGTTATTGTTTAATAGAATATCAACAATTATTAATATGACAAGTGATTCCTTTTGAACGGTAGTGTCCTCACTGAAAAACCCGGCGAGTGAATAGTGGAGGATGTCAGGGGGTGGGAGGGGGGCTCTGTACCTCTGTCCATGTTGGGTCATGTCGATGGCTCGTCGGACAGGTACAGGAGAGCCTCCCTCAGTCACACTTAGCACCTCCATCGACTTGCGCTCCGGCCTCCTCTTGTTGTGCCTGGTCAGCAGCGGAGAGTCCACCCGCTTCCTGGGAGGGTCTGAGACGACCAGCGCACACTCATTAGTACAGTAATTACAGGAGCTACTACAGTAATTACAGCAGATTAAGTGCTTAATAAGATGCTGTGCAACCTAAATGAATCAAGTGGACTTGGCAAGACGCTTTCCGTGTGAGTGAGAGGAAATGAAAGCGGTCCATACCGATCTCGTTGCGGGGGGGCAGGTTCTGGTCCTCATGACTGGGATACCTCTCCTTACGGTCCAGCAGCAGGAAATAGATCATCTTCTCTTGGTTGTCACTAGAGTGAAAAGTTCAAATGAAGGCTCAGAGAGCAATAAGCACCTCAACATTTACATCCTAAAGCAATGTTATGGTGGGAGTTCTTATGTTTAAAATAATGATCTGGCCAAAAATCTAATTTCTACAATTTTACCCATAACCCCTTAAATCCTTATTACATACTAAGCCTTGTTATTCAGTAACTACAGGGAACTCCAATGCAAACTGGCTGAGCTATTCTTAGGTTAAAGTAGTGTGTAATAAAACTTTGGGCCTGCCGGCTGTCCAGGCCTTTTAAGGTGTTAACTCAAATGTAGTCAAAAAGCCAAGATGTGTTTGGCGTCATTTGGATTTGCGCTGAAGCTACAAGGCCAATATAGCTAACAAGTAATGGAAGCTTTTAGCTACTAGTTTCTATATCGCTGCTATCAGGACAAACCTTCTATCTCCAAAATGTAAATGTATCTCCAAGTAATGTTGGACCTTTTCTTTCAGTCCATTAATCATGAAATTTGGAAAGGGCAGCAGGCATTTTCAGATTGTGTCAAAAACTGAAAAATGATAAAAATGGAGATACAAGGTTTTCTTCCAACAACAGAGATATAAATTATGATTAAGGTTTTACAAACTATGATTTTGCATAAGACTTTCTTAAGAACCAGTTAATTTCAGACTTGTCTGTGAGCACCTTCTAGCGCTCGACAAACCTGGTAGACATTACTAAGTGGCAATTCTCCACCCTACACATTCTCTGATTAAACTTACTGCCTGTACATGCTGAAACGATAGCTTGCTAGCACAGCTAACTGATAGTTACCACACTGTTGGTGGTTAGCACTGTTGCTGCTTAGTGTGAACCCCCAAGAAAAAATGACCATGTGGTGCATTTCACATTTTTTCCACCTTCAGAAAAATGCAGTGTGAACCCACTTTGCAATTTTGTTTCCAGTTCTGGAAACCTTTGACCTTATATATTATCTTATCTCCTGAAAAACAAATAGTTTATCTTAAATTAGCTGAAAATTGACTGTAAATGAAATAAACAAAGTGTGGTCTCTGACTTTTGCTCAGCACTGTAGCTTGCATTATGGTAGCTGTATAAGCTGTCATCACTTGTTAGGTACATTAGCTTCATAGCTTCGGTCCAGAACTAATGAAGCAGACACCAATCATGTTTCTGTTGATTGACTACATGTGGACTAAGGGGAAAATTGTGTCAATTTGGTCAAATCTGCATTTTGAAACTTGACAAATTCACAGTTTTAGACCAATACACTGAAACTTTTATCATGAAAAAGGAGAGAAAGTCATTCCTGGAGAGAGCAGGCCTACAAGACAAAGACAAACCAGCTCTAACTGAGAATATGTGCTAAATTAAAAGGGTGGGAACACAGTTAAGAGACAGCACATGGACTTGCAGCAAATGTGGGCTGTTATGCCGCGGGGTGGGGGGTAAACGGGCCCGTCTCTGCTACAGGCGCTGGCTAAATTGCGGCGGATGCTTGGGGAGAGAGACGAGGCGGAGGCTGCTATGCTTTAGGGGAGAGGAGCCCAGCCATCCATCAGCCACATTAAGAAGGTGAGCATACACAGTGGAGCATGCAGGTGGTAATTGCAGGAGTTTGGGGGGGAAGATGAATGAGAGAAAGTGAACAGGCTTCGCTAACGGCCCGGGGCCAGGCAGACGCACTGTGGGTTTAGTAGCCCTGAGAAACAGCCGTAAAACACTTCTACTCGCATATGGCATCCCAAAGCAAACACTGTCAGAAGGAGCGAGCTGGAAGCTTTAGGGAAGAGTTAGTGCAAGATGGGGCTGATTATGCACTGGCTACTGTAGCCTAGATAAACTGGTTAAGTATGTGCATTAACCATTTCATTATGGGGCTACAGCAAATCCCAATTGCCCACTGACTCCATACTGTTAAACATAAAGGTTTGTAAACAGTTCTTGGCTTAGGCATGGATTTGGAATAAAATGGCACAGAATCTTTATGTGGAGGTTCTTTTGACATAAAAACCTCTTTACACTCACTCATCTCATTTACAATAATGATTCACTAGGGAACCAACAGTGGTTCTTTTATGGCATCACTCCAGAAAACATTTTTTGGACCTTTAATTTTACAAGTGTAGTATAAAAATCCTAAAAAAAAGCATAGCGTTCTTCTAAAATTTATTACGTTACTGTTTTAGATACAAAATACATCACTGGTTAGCTGAAGACTGCTTTAATCGGAACGTATGACTATGGAGTCTCTTCCTCACCACACTGCCTGCCAAAAGTTGGGGACATCTGGCTTTTCAAAGGCTTTTAGATGTGAAACACCTTATGGACCTGGCTTGAAACTAACTGACTGATTGACTTACCAGCTAACAAACTAACTAACTAACTAAGCAACTAACTAACTAACTAAATAAATGACCCACTGACTAAGTAACTAACTTTCTTACTGACTACTTTATTAACTGTCTAACTAGCTGACTGACTCACTACTTTACTAAATGACTGACTATTTTAATATCGAACTGACTGACTGACTACTTTACTAATTGACTGACTGACTGACTACTAACTAACTGACTGACAAAGTAACTAACCTAAATGCCTAATTTGCTGACGGACTGACTAAGTAATAACTTTCTGACTGCCTAATTGACAGAGTGACTACTTTACTAACCGACTGCCTGATTGACTAAGTAAGCAACGTTCTGACTAACTGACTGCCTGACTGACTAAGTAACTAACCTTCTAACTAACTGAATAATTGACTGAATGACTACTTTGCTAATTAACTAACCAACTAACTGACTGACTGACTGCCTAATTGACTGGCTGACTGACTGACTGACTACTTTACTAACCGATTTACTGACTAAGTAAGTAACTTTCTGACTATCTGGCTGACTGCCTGACTTACCAGTAACTAACTTTTTGACTGACTGAATAATGGACTGAATGACTACTTTGCTAATTAGCTAACTAACTAACTGACTGACTGACTGACTGACTGACTGACTAATTGACTGACTGACTGACTGATTAACTAGTAACTAACCTTCTGACTGACTAATTGTCTGACTGATAGACTAAGTAACTAAGTTTCTGACTGACTAATTGACTGACTGTCTGACTAATTAACTGAATCACTGAGTAACTGACTAATTAAATAACTAACCAAATGACTGAATGACAAATGAACTTGCTGACAGATGAACTTACGAAATGACTGACTGACTGACTGAGTAACTAATTAATTCACTCACTCACTCACTCACTCACTCACTCACTCACTCACTCACTCACTCACTCATGTTTAACAGGCTGAAACCTCTCCACTAAGGGGCCCTATTAGCAGTCAAACATCTGTCGAAGCTTCATGTGAACAGTGGTTTACATCAGAGACACTGTGTGTCTTTGTTAATATGAATAAACATGTTTCTTCTTAATATGTTAAAGACCAACCAGTTTCAGTTTACGGGAAATAAGATCACACATACATTTTTAAGGCAATATTTGAGAGGCCATGTTGGGAATAAAGCCAAAGCCCACACATTGTACCCTCTTGTTGTGATGTCAGCAATCCATTCCACTGATTTTTTCAAAATCTTTCAATAAATACATTATTAAGATGTAAACAAAATAATTTCTAGAGAAACTTAGAAAGCCAAAATCATTCACAATGGATGACAGGAGCCAGACGGAAACATTATAAGCACCCTCACAATAAGTTGTTACATTATATATAAAAACCAATAAGATGCATGTAGTTTCACTAGTTGCTTTGGACAGTAAATATACTGTAGATATCACAATCCATGGTTCCCATCACATCACTGTAAAGAAATCTAGGTTGGCAAGTTTGTCTACAATGAGCCATTTCACATCAAAATACTCTCAACCATGAATTAGGTAGAAATTTTGAAACATTAGTGGAATTGCCCTTTAATTGAAAACTAATGGTGAAGACCAATTATTACTTGGTAAATCTACAAGGTGTTTGTCTAAACTTTTGAAGGACTGCGTATCTCCCTCTCTTCTCACTCTGTTACTCACTCGTCCGACAGCAGGTCCTTCATCAGTTTGTTTTTATCCCGGAAGCAGCCGAGCGAGTGCATGCTCTCCAGCACGTCCGGGTCGATGTCCTCGGCCGAGGGCAGCGTCCGGATAGCCACTTTCCGCGGGACGGGCTGCTCCGGTTCCGGCTCGTTCTTTCCCCCTCTGGACACAGGAACAGGGGTTTAATAATCACTGAACACAAAGGATCTTCTGCAATAGCCATTTCTCAAGTCTCTGTGCACCGTTTTTGTTCCTCTCCTGGCTTTTTAATTTCATTCTAGGCCGCCTCACTCACTCTGTGCCTGCTTGGGGCTCGCATGATATCTCCATCTATACATTTTTAAAGGCACTCGGTTGGCACACTTCAGGCTAAGAGTGAGGATAAATGGCAATGTGAATGCAGGGTGAGCAGAGTCGAGGACTGAGGACAGATACTATCTGCTGCTGCGTCAGCTCTAAGAAGCTCAGCGCTCCTTTCCAGAGCTTTACGCTCGAGATGGACATTTTAACCATTTTTGCTATTTGAATATCTACATTTTCTTTAACATCAGCATATTCTATTGAGAAAACATTTGGTAGCACTACATGCATGAGCATAGAATCACATATTAAATAGCAACACTTGAGTATTAATGAAGACCGTATTTCAAGAGTTCTAGAGCAAATATGGTAACATTTAACTGAAGGCTGGCATTTGTAAATAATTAATATTAATAATTACAATCATTTTTATTTAAATAGCACTTTTCATGCCGGTGGCAGCACAAAATCCTTCACAGACAGGTGATAAAGCTTAACAGCAATTATTTAACAGTAAAATTGTAAGTATTAATTTAAAATCATATGAGAAAATGAAACAGATCAAATTAAAAGATAAATACCACGAGACGAAGAGTTGTAATTAAATGCTAAGTTAAAACCAAAGAGATTTGCTTTTAGATGCTTCTTAAAAGGGATCACTGAACTTGACTGTCTAATAAAAGGTGAATTGAGTTCCACAGTTCAGAAGCAGAATAACTGAACGAGTCTCTCCATGCTTTCTGTATTTCACAGAAGGTGCTTACAGAAGGTCAGTATCTGCAGATCTAAGATCACGTGTTGGAACATAAACAGACAGACATTCTGTGATATAAGCAGTGCTTTAAGGTCATTTATAGCCTTAAAAACTAGTAGCAGAGCTTTAACATCTATTCTAAGCTACATGAGACCTACAGAAACTTTTAATGACATTAACCTACACAAACATTACTAGAGCCTTATTTCAAGTTATTACAAGTGCCAGTTGTCATAAAGGCTGTTTTTGTTAAATTTTTGCTACAGCCTCTTTTATTTTTTTTCTTTATTTTATTATATTTTTAGTTATTTTGCATGCACACATTTGATTTTTCATTCTTAATAAACACCCATGAATACAAAAATACAGCAAAAACACACTTTCTCTTCACTACTGAACATCACCCTGACATTCCATTAATCACACCAGCCTAATCCAGTCCTACCCCCTTCATTTACACTGTATGCTCACTGATGCATACAAATGTGTGCATACAACCTCACACAAACACACATACAGTAGCAGTCAAGCGTTTGGACACACCCACTCAGAGAAGTGTTTAATTTATTTTTACTATTGTCCACATTTTAGAGCATCTATGAATTAACGCATGGAATTAAGCAGAGAATAAAAAAATCAGATCTTCTATTTTAGATTCTTCAGATTGGCTTTAAAGCAGACTTACATTTTCTCACAAAGCAGCTTCACAAGGAGCCACCTGAGATGCTTTTCTTACAGGACTGATGAAGATCCACATATCATTGCTGTTCAAAAATAAATCTCCATTTTTTGGAGAAAATGAATGGAGGGATGTTGAGAATGTTTTAAATTAACTGCCAAAATTGAGGTCACTAATGACACCTGTCACACCAACCCTCATATACATTACATACAGACTTACATACATACAAGCACACATATATAAACACCTTAGGAGCCATCTACGATTACATAGGGATGGCCTAGCAACACCTTAGCAGCCACCTGAGATTCCACAATAATGACCAACCAACACTTGAACACCGGATACCATAGCAATGGTCCAGCAACACCTTAGAAACCACCTGGGATAGCATAACAACAGTTTATCCCCTTAAAATCTCAGGCTTATTACTTACTAAGGCTTATTATTCAGTAACTACAGGGACTTCAATGCAAACTAGCTGAGCTATTCTTAGGTTATAGAAGTGCATAATAAATATTTGGGCCCACCCATTTAAGCATTTGAAACTGGTTCATGAATTTTCTCCTTCCAGTTTAGAAATGCTGACTTAAATACTATGAACATTTTTCATCCTTTTCTTGAAATCCTTGAATAGTTTTTGCTCTATAACTTTCATATTACATCACATCACGGCATCAATCCACCTATACACCCATCCCCCGGCTCCCCACCCCCCCACCAAGGAGACCGGATCCCTCTAGTCTCATACATTGGAATTTTCTGAACTTGAGTGATATGGTTATTTCATAGCCTTGTTGTCCTCGTTATTATTCTAAAGGTAGTTATAATGAGGATTTAAGCCCTTCTACGAGTAGATGTGTCCAAACTTTTGACTGGCGCTGTACGCCCATGATACAAACACACAAAGACCCAGAAGACAGAAGAGATTCATACTTACATGTACCACGTGTGCTTCTGTATCTGTTCTAACTGTAATGAGAAGAGAGAATATTAAAACTGCAGGAAATCAGCTTTCATCAATATCATTTAATTATTACGCAATTACAGAATCAACTGCGAATTAAAAAAGGCCAGAAGAAACGTGGAGGGAAAAAAGAATGGAGCCATTTCATGTTGCCAGCCTGCATCTCCTGCTGGCAAAGTCTAATTTCCCCGCTCAGTGTCCCAGCCTCTGATCATCATGGTGTAACTGGAGACACTACAGAGACACAGAGCACGTCTCGCTAATTAGAGCAGAGGACTGCAGCATGAGAGCAACTGACATGATGGAAGCTCGTGGGGGTCATTGCTGCGTTATGTGTCAGCGAGGAAGGACCGTAATGATATTAGGCTGCCACTTAATGATATTGAGCTATAAATATAATCCTCAAAGCAAATCCATCAGAGTTGAGAGATTAAGCTTGGCTTGCGTCTCTGGCCGAGCCACGGGGACACCTTATGAACCGATTCGAAAACAAGGGGAGAGCGTGCAGCGAGCCGCAGGAACAACCCCAGCAAGGTATCGGTGGCACAATGGCTCATCAGGCCACATTATGGAAATGCTTTCCTATCATTTCAAACACATTGTGCGGTGCGTGCCAGTGCTGTGCTGGGGGATTGAGGCTATTCTCCCAGCGCTGCTTCGCTGATGGAGTTGGCCACGACTCTGTCCCCTCTAACCAAGCTCAGCTTCTGGATCTGCCAGAAAGAAAAAGCTGCAGCCAGTTGGAAGCGGCTGAACGCTCTCTGACGTGGATTTGCACTGTTCAAACGTGTGGATGCTTTCGGGTTAAAAACAATGAGCACAATAATTATAATGTATAACGGGCACAAGCTCAGTCTCCTCCTCAAATGGCAGGGCGAAGGGCTTCCCTTATGAAAATTAACTGTAATACACTGTAAAAAATGGCTTGTCAGGTCTACCTAAGCCAATTATTTCATGTGTAACAAGCAATAGAACTAGTTTTATTCAACTCAAAAAAATTACACTGACTGAAAGAATCGTTCATTCAAAGTATTTATTTAGGTTGAATAAAACTATTTAATTTACTTGTTCCCATATGAAGTAATTTGTTTAGGTAGATCTGACGAGCCACTTTTTACAGTGTCGTATAAGAGACTACAGTACTGTATAATTTACAATATTTGCAGCTACCTGTAGTCTTATAACCTGTCCAGGGTGTATCCTGCCTTCCACCCAATGACTGCTGGGATGGGCTCCAGCTCCCCCCACGACCCAGCAGGATAAGCGGTTTAGAAGTTCAGTTCAGTCTTAGAAGTTGGTTGCATTTTCTGCTTCCCACAATCCAAGTAATGCCAAACACACAGTGAGTTTGAGGTCTGAACTCTGGGGTGGACAGTCCATTGTTCTGAGAACACCAGCAGCAGTTTAATTTGAAAATTTTCTTTCTTTTTTCTTCTCTTTATTTCCTTTTCTCAGTAAGGGCTTCTTGACAGCTACACATCCTTTCAGACCCATAGCACTGAGTTGTCTTCTGTGTTTGACTGTCTATGACAGTTTTGACTGGAAATTAAATCATCTAAGCTCTCTTGTAGAATGGTTATAGTTTTCTGTCCTGTCTATATAACAGGTATTTTAAGACATTACTGAACATAACATTAGTGTTTTAGTGAGGATATGTTGCTAATGTTTATAAGCCTGCATCTGATACTGAGACAAACGTTATGGTGCAAAATAAAACTTCTAACTGGTCCACTGCTCTGTTACCTTTATGTAGCACTACCAATCAGTTTAATCTATTATAACTAGCTAGGCCAAAACTACCACAACGAATCAAGCTAATGCTAGTTCTAGCCTTGATGATCTTAAGAAAACTGTGTAAAAGGGTGGTCTGGGTTGCATTTTTTGTTTTTATTTAAAATATTAACATTTTCAGTGAATATTTACAGTTGTATGCAAGTTTGAACAACCCCAGTCAAATTACATGTGTAGTTGATTTTCTAAGTGAAAAAGGTTATCACATCATCTACAGAGAATATACCTAAATATGACAGTTTACTGCAAATTTAAGTACACTTAAATTTTACAATTTACATTTATTTGCTGAGTTTAACACATAGGAAAAAGATAAAAGATATCTTAGTTTATGCACAGGCCACATCTATGTCTTAATTTATTCCTATATATATATATATATATATATATATATATATATATATATATACACACACATGCATATAGGCACCAATATACAGATATGCTCATACTTGCAGATCCCCCTAACGAATAATAATAGTAATAATCAGGATCTAGATTCTTTAAAAAATTACCAGTTATAAGCACAAGTATAATGTAACATAACATAAATATTTTTGTCCCTGATAAAAATGTTAAGTCGTTCCAGAGACAGAAAAGGCTTCGGGTTTGGTAACATATAAGAACGGCCCTGGCAGGCTTTCTCTTTCTTCATGGCTACCTCACAGACAAGGAGCTGTTGCTTTCCAATCAGTGAGATGTTGTCTGTGAAGGCTGTTTGATTTTTTACTAGAAAGCAGAGGGACAGGGACATTTCAAAGAGCTGGTATTAAGATAAGCTCTTAAACCCTTGGCCACTCTACCATGCAAGAGAGACGAAGAGAGAGACAGAGATAGAAGGAGAGAGAAGTGTGGGGGGTGGGCGAGAGAGGCAAAGCATCAAGAGAAGAGGACGAGAGTATGATGTGTGAGGCCTCCACAGACAGACTGAATTGGATTAGTTCTGCTGTATGTTGACCTGAAGTGACAGCGCCCATACGGAGGAGCTACTGAACCCGGACTCATTTACTAGAAATCAGCTTAAAGCACTGCACATGTCTGAAGAACCACACTGAGCGTCTGTGTGTGTCAGAAGACCCTGCTGAGACTGGGTGTGTAGAGTGCTCTCTACTGTCACCACCTGGGGGTCTTTCATGGAACCGACATAAGAAAACAAAGATGTTGGGAAACAGCTACTGTGATGCGTTTAATACTGAACACATTGGAAAGAGGAAACATTACAACTCCCCATCCACTGCATTCAAACCAGACACCCTGAGCAGGTAGTTCTTGTGAGAAAGTATTCAGTCTCGAAATGTCACGGAAAGAAGAACCGTTTTCCATTGTTTTAGAGGAGAACTCCACCAATTTTTCTAAATTTCTGTATAATTTGATCGTTTAGATGTAAAACGAGCCATTCAGAGTGGCCTACCGTGAAATGCTCCATTCTAGAGCAACTCAGAGGCAGAACTGTTCACAGTGGTGGTGATAGGAATGAGATGTTCGAAGCTTTTAATGCCCCTCACTTTTTAATGTCCTCAAAAGCCTCACAGAATGCTATTACACAAAACAGTTATGAATACGCTGCCTAATTTACAATACTTGGTCTAAAACCTATTATTAAAAGCTATTCATGGATAAACACACAAGGAAAAGTACACAAGAAAACTTTTTTTCCTGATTTATCACTATTTCACCATTATCAACATTCCATATAAAATCTCAGAAGACACATGTAGGTTCACTGGTGGTTTTGGATAGTGAATAAAATGGCTTTATTTGCACTGTAGACATCAGGAGACCTTGCTAAGACTGGGTGTGTAGCCCTGGTTCTTGTCATTGCCACTCTGAATGACTTTCATCTCAACAACTTTTTAAGAAAAAAAATGGTGGAATTCTCCTTTAACTAAAAAATCAGCTTGCATAGAGTAGAGCTTGACCAATATATATCAGTCAGCCAATAATATCAACCAATATTGAGAATTTATCAGTATCTGCAAAAATACTGGTAACAGCATCACAATCTTCATGCATAATCTGATGATCATGCATAATCTGAGATGACTGCACAGCAATACATCCCAGCTGAACTGCTACTCAACAGCTAATTAACCAAAACCAAAACCAGAAAGATTTCTATGGAGCTCCACCCCCATATTTCAATATTTATGTTATTTAACACATGAGCTGAGAACTGCTAAACATGTCAATAAAACACTGTTTAACTAAATCCTATATGAGCAAAAACTAACAGTTAACAGAATTTTTTAGCCTCTTAAAATTGGTATCAGTATCAATAACCAGGCTAGTATAGTGTGATTTTTTGTCTAATAGAACTGTAAGATGTAAATAAAGCAATTAAAGCAAGAAATATGTTTTTTTTAAGTCGGTGAAAAGCGTAATGCTGCACAAATGGACTGCCACTGTGCGGTAGGCCTACTGACCGTGAGTCTTTTGGCTGCGTCCACTTCGATCATGCCCCTCAGCAGGTTCTGGCAGTCTGGAGGGATGAAGTGAGGCATGTGGAACACTCCCAACTTCACCTTCTCCAGAAGGTTCCTCAGGTTGTCGTCGTCGAACGGCAGAGCACCCTGACACACAGAACAGAGGAGCACTTATAATAAACTACCTAAACCTATCAACATGTTAAATAATTGTACAAGCTAATGACAGTAGCAACAACTAGTTTTCAGCAGCCAACAACGTCTCAGCATGTTGTCACATCAGTATCATATTGTATCGTCATTATTCTGATGTCTTCATTATTATTCTGAAATGTGGCGATAGTTAAAATAAGGAAAACCAGGAATGAGTAGGTGTGTCCAAACCTTTGACTAGCACAGTATATAAAGAAAAGGGTGTTCACTGTATACTGTTTTTAAGACAGTTTGGCTCCCCAGCAGAGACTTTTGATAAATGATTCAGATGACATACAGACGTGACGGATGGGCAGCCTGGGTAACAGATGATGTAATCAGACTAAAGCTGGCAGCCGCCGTCAGTAGAAAAAAGAAAACAGATGACTGAAAAAAGAAAAAAAAACAGCAGGAAAGCAATTCCAGCTCGGATGCGGAGCCTTTGGAGTAGAGCAGGAGAGATCCCAGAGAGGCCGCTTTTGTTTCAGAGGAGGACTGATTGTTTTGTGAAGTGCATACAGGAATAATGGAAAATACAAATACAGCAGCGGAGGGAGGAATCAATCAGGTTTGTAATCAAGGTGGAGCAGCTGCTTTGGGTGCAGCGTGGGCTGTGAGCCAGATAGTGATCACGCAGGACCCAAACCACAGGGTTAGGCTAAAGCCTCTGAGATCAGGAGAGCAGGGAGCTGATCTGAGGATGAAAAGCTGGAATAAAAAATTCAATTACACTCAATTCCTGTCATTTAAGCCAGTTATCATGGTGAGAACCAAGAGCAACTTCACAGGAAGTTAGTACATAAAAAGGTTATGTGGCCTGATGCCTGGGACATGGTTTTAGGACTTAGTTTTGCACTAAGGTTTGAGCCTAAAACGTGTTCATGGTTGAAACATGCAGGATGATGTAAGGCAAAATAGCACCCAAAGAAATGTTATAGTTTAATATTATTTCTCTTATAGCTCATTGAAAAATCCTGTCAAAGGTAGAGATTCTTAACTTTTAAGTCACACCACATTTGTGTTTGTACATAGATGATATTTTGTACAGAAGATAACTTATACAACATTATTATGATGCATCAGAAATGCAAACAGCCCTGAATTCAAATGTAATTCATGTAATAACTATGTTATTAAATGCATAACCATGTAATTACATGTGCGTACTATCAGTTTGGAAAGATCTAACCGCCTCAGTGAAAGCAAAACAAGCAGAGCAAGTGAGCAATGACAGTTAATGTAAGTTAGAATAAGGGAGAATTACAGTAATTCTCTCTATGAACCTGCAACTGTATAAAGGAAAGATTCAGTAGTAAGTAGGTAGTCGCATAAAGTGCTTAGTGGGGAGAGCAAAGGATTCTCCATTCATTTCTATTATAAAGATGATTCAGAGGGTCAGGAGATATCGCAGTGGCACTTTGGAAAGACTGCTAAAACCCATAATAGCAGAATATCTTTCTCTTTGACTCGACTGAGTGGACCTAGTCTCAGTTCAGTGCCTTATTTCTTACTCTCTATTCAACTCCCACAGCAATAGAAGGAAATAGAAACATTCACTCAAACGGATCATTTATTTAATCAATTCTTATGATGATTTTTATTGCATGCTGAAATCTTAGTATATTTTTTTCTAATTTCTAATTAACCCTTGGAAGGCATGGTTAACATACATAATAATAAAAGCACGTAACTTGATATGACTGTATGCAGGTGTGGCGCTAGAGTAGGTGCTTATTCAGCGCTCCCATTTACACCCCCTGAAAAATGTTGATTGGCCTTTTCATATAAATTACACACAGGTAATTAAGCTACCAGTTCATAAATCTTTTCCACCATACATGCACACACATAAGTAATTTGAGTACCTATACATCCATATAATCACTCACTGAGAGTGCACAGTAGTCTGCTGATACAAGATCAGTCCTGTTTTAACCTACTCTTATTCAAAACATAGCCGACACACTGAAACACTGATCTTCAGTCAGTCACAAAAAAATATATATTCACTATACTCTCACAAGATAGTTGCCATGTAATTAAATGTAATTGCAGTGTAATAAATACGTAATTAAAACAACTGCATGTGAGTGTATGGCAAAAATCGAACTGTTTCATGAGGAATGAGCAGGCTGTATCTCTGACAGAATGGCAGAATGACAAAGTGTGATACAGAAGAACATCTCAGCTTTGTTAAAGCCTCACTTACCACTAAAAGTGCAAAGAGAATGACCCCACAGCTCCAAACATCTGCTTTCCTGCCATCATACTTCTCCCCCTGACAGAGAGAGTGAGAGAGAGAGAGAGAGAGAGAGAGAGAGAGATGGTTAGAGGGCAGGCTAGACTAAGAGCACCATTAGAAGAGATGGCTGTGAGAGTACACTTACCCTAATCACCTCTGGGCAGGCATAGTGCGGAGAACTGAAATAAACAAGAGCGAGAGCAAGAGAGAGAGAGAGAGAGAGAGAGTGACTATTCCAGTTTAACTCTATCTTAGCTAACATATGATCAGCAATGCATTCAGAGCTAAGTCCCCTTTAACACTTTAAAATCTGCCTACAGAGCAGTACGGACAAGTTCATGTCCATGTTGGGCAATAAAACAGATCAGCATGTGAAACTGCAGCTTTCTGTGTTCTACTGTAATTTCTATCACTGTACATAAGAAGCTCCATGCTGCCTGCATTGTTGGATGCACTGTTATTGTTTCAGAGTGAGTCTGCATACACATTCACACTTCAAATGTTAGATCACTATGGAAACGCTTATTATTGATTTGTTCCAGAGAAACAATAAAACGACTGAAGTGTATTACTATTCCTGTGTTTTCTTGTTCAAAATGAAGTTTCATTACATTTTCAGCCTTATTAAGTCATGATATTTAGATATTACAATCAACGTGACAGCACTGAGAAATCATGTTATTAAAGGAGAAGAGTAGATTAAAAGGCATAGATACTTTTTGCCTCATTATCAGTTAAAGTTTATTTAAAACTAACTAAAGCAATATATTCATATATTAATATTTTTATATTGCCGATATAACTTAACATCTAGTTCTATGACCATAAAAATGCACTCTGGTCATTGCGCGTTGAAAAACAGTGCCGTATTTTGTTGAACTTATAAGATTTGCTGTTACAGTCCAGCACTTGGATAACTGTTGTGGTCTCAGGTGGGGGGTAAACATCATGTTGTTCATTATGTGGCCACTCTCTTCCTTACAAGAGAGCGTGCCCAGTGTTGTAAGGTAGTCCCCGTTTTATCACTAGATCACTATTTTTGCGCATTAACGTTAAATATAAACTCAGAAGAGACATATCACTGGTCATTTTAGATAGTAAGTAAATAAAATGGTTACATTGTGTTGCAGACATTGTGACCCCTAGTTTCTTTCACCACCCCTTCAAAGAAACCCGAGTCTGTAAATTACATAAAAAACTATTTTTTATGCAGAATGCAATTTCCCTTTAAGAAAGGTGAGTTTTGTCCTTACTTGAATCAAAAAGTTCCACAAGTATTTAAGATATTTCATCACCAGAGTTATCACCAAAAGAAAGTAGAATAAAAGATGAATTTGTGATAATTTCTTTTAATTATGAATCATTAATCAACTCAGTTCAAAGCAGTACTTTTTTCAGTGTCCAAGAGTTCTTGCTTCCTCACTGTAACATTCCATACTGGATTCTTTTAGTTCCTTTTACTTTACTTAAAGGGGAAATCCAGTGATTTTTCAAAATTTCTGAAGACCTCAGCCTTAGAGATGTAAACAAAGTTCAGAGTGGTTTGATGTGATAAGAACCAGGGGTCAGGATTCCTACAACACAAATGTAGACAATTTATTTACTTTGCAAAATGACCAGAGAACCCATATGTCTTGAGTTTATATGTGATGTTGTTAATTTCTAAAATAGTGTTAAATCTGTACAAATATGTCATTTTGCTTTAAAACACTCTGCATAGATGGTTGTTAAATATACATTTCAGGCTAAACCTTCTCTCAAAAGAACTGTAAAACAATGTTTCAGACATGAGATAGTATATTGTCAACCATTTCATGTACTATTTTTTTTACAAGGGAGCTTTTTGACACATTAAATGCTTCAGATGTCTGGTTCCTATCACCACCACTGTCACAAATTCTGACTCTGTATGTTTTTCAAGAACAGAGCATTTCACATCATATCTCTCTGAACAATTCTGTTTACATCTGAGCTGTTTTGTTATGCAAGAATTTTGAAAAATCTGTGGATTTCCCCTTTAACACTTTAGCAACATTCATTGGAAAATCAATGATGCAGTAAATTTACATTCTAAATTCATTTATAATATTAATTTTACACTAGAAACCCAGAATTCCCTTACTATCATTGATCTATTCTTCCCAACAGCTGATTGGCTCCTCTGCCAGTGAGGAGCGCTATACCCAGTGCTCTTCCTCTGACACTGCTGAATGATCCAATAATGTAACATTAGATTTTAATGACTTCCTGCTAGAGGTCTGTAAAACTGTAGTCTGATAACTGTCTGGATTGTTTAATGTATTTATGCGTTATGCTATGGACGGTTCAGTTGCTTGACAGCACTGTCAAATGAAGCTACGTGTTAGCCTCGCAGGAGCAATGCAGAACGTGTCCGCTGTAAATAGGTGTCCCCTGATTGCACATGCCATATTGCATTATGGAAATATATGCAAATGCAGTCAATTTGCAGTAAGCAAGCAGTGCCATGTCAAAAAGCATACTAATTAAATCAACATTTTTCACAAAACCACCTCAGAAATTGCAGCAATGGTGTCTTACTTGAAGGGAAAACATTACATGCTATCATATTATCATTACTACACAGCTATGAATGTCGAATGTTAGGTAATGTATTCTGTGGCCATCTCGCATCATACAAGCAGAGACTGCTTTTCATCAAAACTTTATCAACTAATCAATACTGCACGCATTAGAAATGTCTGTTGGCAACATATGCACAAGGCTGCATGCATACAGAACAGGGAAATCATTTCAGCAGAATGCAGGTTGCCTGCACTGTGTGTGGGTGGAACCTTTCTAAATGCAGACCTAAAGAACATCAATAAACAGCAGTTCAGACAGAAATATTACACAAGGTGCTTGAAAGTGCATACATTAAGTCTGGAAATGTCTTGTTATTTAACTTTAAGAGCCCATAACACTGAAAACTGAATTTTTACACATTTGATGTGTGATGTGAACATTAAGTTTCAAAACACACACACGCACGCATACACACACACACACACACACACATATATATTAGTAATTTGAAATATCATCACTGTCCAAAAAAACAAGTATTTCATGATGAACAGACCTATAAAAATGCTTCAAAATTACTTGGAATAAAATGTATTTACATTAACAAGCATTAAAAATACAGATTGTTTTTGCCTTCTCTCTGCCTATCTTTGGAGATACTTGTTTTTCTTTGGACACTCACAATATGCTCAGTCTATAGCTGTTTAGCTCTGTCCTTTTATATATGGACATAAAGTTATAGGGAGCGCTTGAGCCCAGACTGCATTTTGAATGAGCCACAATACAGCGCAGCCAACCAGAAGAGTGATAATTTGCATATATTGCATATATATGTTTAAGAGATAAAGTGAGGTTGGGAAATGGTCACGTGTATACTCTAGGTGAAAATAAATACACAGTTATTTAGACAGATAGATAGGTAGGTAGATAGATAGATAGATAGATAGACAGACAGACAGACAGTCAGACAGACAGACAGACAGATAGATAGATAGATAGATAGATAGATAGATAGAAGAGGAAGTAAAATCGTAGAAATATTATGCAGATGACAATGCAGTGGTGCATGTCATGTACAGTGGATGAACTGAGTGACTATACACTGTAAATGATATGTTAATAGTTGTATTTGCATGGGTGTAAAAACAAGTGGCAGTGCAATATGCAATATTTATGGATGTATAAACAAAGTGAAAGTAATTTCCTGTGGCCTGTGTAAAAATTATATATATATATATATATTTTTTATTTTCCCCCAATATGTTAAACCCGACAAATACATAGAAATTTTGCACTAAATGACATTTTTATTTTTTACAGTAACCCAAGTAAGCTTCATTCCAAAAATAAACTTCTCTTTCACTGCAGCACATCAAGGCACTGTGAATAGATTCTGTACTCCAAGTCGGAAAACCCAAACCACTTTCACAACCACATTCTACTGTATACTCCCGAAACAGGAATTACACACACTTGCGATTTCCCTCTGCTCGGGCGGTGACGGTGTTGTAAATGTGTGTGTGCGCGTGGACATGAGGGAGGATTAACGTGGTAAATCAGGGAAGCCGCAGGGGGTGCTTAAGCCGCTCTGAAATGAGCGTGATGGAAAGAAATGACTCATTTAGACCGGGGCTTGCTAGCTGGCTGAAGGAAATAGTTCCTGAGATTCCTTTGCCGGTTCTGCTGTTGGTCTGACTTGAGGGAGGACAGCTTAAGAGGGAAAAGAAAAAAAACGGAATCAACTTTTCACTTTTATCTTCTTCTGCCTTTGTCACATTAGCACGGTCTCTCCGCTCTGCGCCGGTCGGCCTTGAGCTAAAAGTAGCTAGCTCGCTAATGTGTTGTCTGCAGAACCGCACTTGCACCTCTGAGAGATGAGAGGCTGCCAAGAAAGCTTTCTTTGATGTTGTTACTGAGTTTATTAGCTCACTAAATCACCAGCTCCCCTAAAAGCACTTGAGGGACAAATGCAATGCTATCACTGTTTGACTAGCGGCAGTACCATGCTAGCATGCTAGCTGTGGACTGTTCTTCTGGTAACCAGGTTATAAACACTTTCTTCTACAATCTATAAAATCTGCTGTTTGGCTACATTGCAGTTGCCTTACGCTGAACTATCTAGCACAGCCACTAGCTTGAAAAGCAATTTGCCAATTTCAAAACTGGGTCAATTCACCAAGCCGCAGATACAAACGAGAGGAATGTATGGTGCACATTCGAGCCCCCCGTGCTGCGTACATGTGTGAAAGGTCTGCCGTTTTTTTTTTTTTATTCAATCCAAGTCCATTAGCCGTGGTAAACAGAATACATTTGTGTCAAGCAGACAGCGCGCGAGGAGGCTAAAGATGAATGTGTTTAATTAAAAACTGTCATATCTGCGCTTAGAGATGGGCCAGCCGGCCATGAGGGGACAATCAATAATCACAGCGTGCCGGTGCCATCGAAATGCATCACTACCACTGGCAAATGCTAATATGAGGCAAAGCTTTAATATAGGACAGATATGAAACTAAGGTTAAGATTTGGTCACCGAGAGCTGATTGAATCGTGCACACAGTAACCACACACCTCCGCTTTCCTATGCTCTGATTAGCAGAAACTTTGATTTTGCCTTTAACACAATGCTGATCATCTGTAAAATGGACCTGTGAGGTCTGTCCAGATAACCATACAAAAAATAGGCAATACAAAGACTATAACTAAACAGTCCAGGTTCCACTGGCCCCCTCAGGGAAAGCCCTTGTGGGTATTTGTTGTCTGTCTATTAGCCATGACCCAGTCCTTCACTTATCTCTGCTGTCACATTGAGCCTCGGGACTGGCTATTTTCCCTGATGCATGCAGATAAGAACAGCTTAACAGCTGGTAATCTGCCAAGTGGTCCACTGACTAGGAGTATCAGGTAGTGGGATCTCACTGGTTTGCTGGCGAGGACCTTCCCTAAGCTATCTATAGCATCTATGTAGACAAAACCTTTTAGCCCAGTAACCCTTATATCATGTCACATGCTATTCACACCAGGACTTAGATGTCTAAACTAGTGATCTGAATCTTAATTCAAACTGTATACAAATACTATAACAGTGTGTAAATATTTAGCATTTAGAGACTGATCGATCCTAAGGCCAATATGAAATCAATTACACACTAGAGCTCAAACACATGGAATCACACTTCAAATATTTGGAATCAATCTGGAATGTTTTTGATAAAATAAAAGCATCTGTTGCAGGTACATGCATAAATTATTCTTTTATGATGGTAGTATCCTTCAACTTTCAACTAATTCCAACTAATTAGTATATTAGTAAATATTAAACAAAATATCTTAAAAATTTCCCTCTGCTGTCTAACTTACAGTACTGCAGTCTAGACTGTATAGGTTATTACTGAATAAAACAGCAGCAATAATTAATCTGGCAAGTGACTGCAGACTTTTGAATGCTGTGTATGTCACCCAGTGATTTTAAGAAGCTAAACATTTCGTTAGCCAATAAAATCAGTCAATATCATCAAATTAAACAGACCACAGTAGTTTTCTGAGTGAAACACAGTATCAGGGAGGGACTCTGAGCTAACTAAGCATTAAGTGGAGGTGGTGGGGGTAGGCGGTGACACATGATCTCAGTGGTTAGTATTATTTCTCCCACCCAGTGGCGCATGGTGGTGTATCAGAAGACAAAAGTTGTTGACTTGATGAATTGCGCTAAATATGACCAGCGGCATGAGCTAACAAGACAAAAAAGGCACATTTTGATTTCAGGCTGACTTTAATGTGACGCTGTTCGTGGAACAAAACCTCATATCTCCATTTCTGTCATCAATTTTTTGACATAATTTCAAATTGCCAGCTCCTCTTTACAATGTGTTAAAATTCCATGATGAATGGGCCAACAGAAATGCTCCAAAATGACTTGGAATAAATAATTTCCATTATCTTCCATTAAAAGTTAAGAAAGTATTTTCCTTCTCCTGCAAAGTTACCTTTTTGAAGATATGAGGTTTGGTTCCAACAGCAGTGATAAATATAAGATGAGTCAAAAACAACTTCATAACAATCTTAAAACTGGTAAATTACATTAACCCTGACTCTCAAATAAGACTTCTATTAGCACAAGACAGTATGTTTGGTTGTTTTTCAATGCAGTATCACATTTTTTTAAAATACAAAATTTAGACATTTTTGGCTTCATTAGCGGGCGTTTCTGCCAATGCTGAAAAATCTGCAGAACCTCAATATAGGCCAGCGTTATCATCCAAACGACATATCGGTCAGATCCTATAGTGGACACTGACTATTTTGAGTCCCTAGACTCGTCACTCAGTTTATAATAGTCTAAGTGTTTGTGAACTGTGCTGGAAAGTGGTGGAGAAAGTTTACAAGGCCACAGCAGACATTCACACCTGTTAAATCACTATGGCGACAGGCTCTAAAGCTCTGACTGCCCTTTTACTATCTCTACATACAATCTCAGGGATGTACCGACATCAGGTAACAAATGTACGGATTGTTTCGTCATGGAGACGGAGCTGCACGGCAACCGCTATCAGAGTATGACTCACCCACAGCTAGTTTCCAAGAGACTATCTCCAACCTGCAGAGAAGCCATTCCAAAGTCTGCTATCCTAATGTTGTTCTTCTCATCCAGCAGCAGGTTCTCTGGTTTCAGGTCTCTGTGGCTGAACAAGAAAGAAAACAGTTTAACACAAGAAACCAGAACATCGATCTTCAGTGACTCACAATTTCAGTTACACATAGATCAAATTTCAAAGAAATCAGTTTTGTTGTTGGTTTTTAGTGTCTCCTTTCTTAACAGTACATTATGTCCCATTTCATAGGTGTTACATTCAGAGACTTGTTTTACTGTGCAAAGGGCAAAACAGAAGTAAGGAAACACAAATAGCCATTTTCATTAGAACTGTAAGCACATTTTTGTGCACTGCAAGGCTGTTAGAAAAACAATCAGCTTTATATATACAGTCATATGCGAACGTTTGAACACGTATGGGCAAATTAAACACAAATCCTCTACAGGGAACAAACCGTTATCATTTTTACTGTGAATGTGCCATAATGTTTGCACAGGCTACATTTTGCTTTATTTTTTCCCAATATGTTATATTCGGCAAATAAACAGTAACTGTGCATTAAAATGTGCAGAAGTGAAAATCAACGAATCGTGATTTGGGAGAGCTCAAACTTTTGGATGGATATATACATTCAGGACAAATAAATATATATTTAATTCCTTAAACATCTCCTTATGGTGATGCATGTTTGTTGTGACGGTAGCTGCTACTGCTTCACACATTTTACACTGTTCTGTCATTATAGCTCTTAATGATATGATCGTAGAAACTCATATTGTGATGATGAGAAAAATATGATTAAACATACCACCCATGGCAGTTTTCACACATGGCAGGTTTTTTTAGGGAGGCAATTATTTCTTTTAGAACCATGGGTTCTGTATAGAACCATTTCATGCTTAAATGGTTCTTTGCATGGTAAAATCGTTCTTCAGATTGAAGGAAAATGTGTTGTATATGGTTCTTTATAGAACCTTTTTGAAAATGGTTCTATATAGCACCAAAAAGGGTTGTTCTATTGCTATAAGCTTGACATCATAGCAATAACAGAACCCTTTTTGTTGCTATATAGAAGCATTTTAAAAACCTCCATTTTTAAATTCTCCACCAATCTGAAGAACCATTTCACCATGCAAAGAACTATTTAAGCATGAAACAGTTCTATATAGAGCTCATGGTTCTAAACTGAACCGTTGCCTTTACTGAAGAACCCTTGAAGGACCATCTTGAAGTGCATAAACACTCTTATATGGTTCTTGGCTTCAACTTAACAGTTCTAGGAAAATTGCTAGCATAGAACATTTACATTATGTGGAGGGTCTTTACATTTTGAAAACATCCCATTTGCCAAAATAGTTCTTTAAAGAATCATCTGTTGAAAAGTTCCTTATGGAACCAGAAGTGGTTCTCCTACAGCTTTGCTCCAAAGAACTCTTTTTGGTTCCTTTTTTAAGAGTGTATTGCTACATAAAAGAAGCACAATGATGCCTTTCTTTTCTGATGTGATGTGAGTAAATGGAACAGAACCGGACAGAATTCGTAACTGGTTCATATTTTAAATTGGGGGTAAATTTTAAAAGGGGTTATAACTGATTCATTTCATTAGAGTAACAATGAAAGGCAACTGAAGTTCAGCTTTGTTAGATCATCTTCACATAACATAAATTCAATAATCATACTATTAAGAGAAAAGACTAGGTTACAAGTTAGACATAGCCATTTTTGCCTCAGCAGTACAGAACTAATATCTGCATGGTAGCCCATGACAACCACTTAGCCGAGATAAATAATGATGTAGAAGTTGCAGAAGCTGCTTTCACCGCTTCACTATGGAAAGTGGCTGTACCTAATAATGTTTCTTCTTGTGCTTCTTTTTTTGGCTCACTTCAATTTCTTGGCGTAAGCATAGATAGAATCACGAATCAAGGCACTGAGCTAACAGAAGGGCTTCAAAGCCATCTCCGTTTCTTGTTTCAGCGTTCTTCAGATCAGAACCTCCTGACTCGGTGTCAAGGAACGAAGTCTTTGAAGTCTTTTCATCCAGTACAGGTCAGTGATTGAGGAACAAAAGACCATTTAGACCTCAGAAATCAGCGAGCAGCCCTTATTTTTGCTAATGCTCATATTCAAAAGGCCATGCAACCTGCAAATCAATGAGGTTGTGCCATTGGCCAAATATCTTGGTCATGTTTTTTGTGTTGTTTTTCTAGTTAATTCTATGAGTGAAAAACATCAAAGTGTCAGAACATTGTGTGTTCATTTAATAATGAATAGAGCAAGAGAAATCAACCAAAATTGCCAGGGATGTGCAGGAGTAATCACAGACTTGGTTAACTCCTTAAAAGGTCAGGGCCTGCCATCGGGCCCAAACTTTTATTACACACTTCTATAACCTCAGAACAGCTCAGCCATGTACTGAATAATAAGCCTTAGCTTGTAATAAACCTGGGATTTTAAGGGGTTAAACAATTCATGGTGGTAGTATTTTAATACTGAAAACACTCTTTACGTTTCATCACAGCAAGACAGAGAAAATATACAGGGTAACGATTCAGTGAATACAGATCTTATGATTTAACAGTCTGTTTTGCTTGTATCTGTGTATATTACACTTTGCAACTATGGAACATGAGTGCTTGAACGTTAGCTTGCTATAAAGGACACATTGGCTCAATCCCTTTTCATCCCTCGCACCCACCACTTAGCCTTAGCCCTCCGTTTTGCGTGTTCGGGCCTAGGGGTAGGGTGTCCAGATTTTTGTTGAGATGGAGAGGTAGAGGCAAAGTGTTCGGGCTACATGGCCCTCCAAACAGAGGTTTTTAGAAGCGCACTCCAAACAGAGTGTTATGAAAAAAAAGAAAAACCGGCAAAATGGCTGTGCAAGTGACCAAAGAAACCCACAAATGTGAGAATTTAAAATTACAATAACCACTGAATTATCTTAATGTCATTTCAATGTATTATGGTTCTTCATAACAAGCATAAACATTCGCTAATAGTATGCTAATGTCTCGGTAGCTAGCTAGCTAAATTTCCCGTTCCACCTTAAATTGTCCATCAGTACTGATGCCTGAAATGCCAGAATGTAACTGCTGCTCCATTTAAGGTAGAACAGGAAAATTAAAACGAGAAGCTGGCTAATAGCTGACCTCAGCTTCACTTCGCCAAAGAACGAGGGGTGGGCGATAATAAATAATTATCGTATCAACCCTCTTTGAAAGCATATGATGTCCTTAATGTAGCTAAAGACCAGCAGTGAGGTTGCTGAACTTTACCCTCCTCTACTATCACTGCAGACTGGCAGGGTTGCCTACAGAGCAGCACTAGTAGCCTCTTAATGAAGTGATGTTTTTTTATTTGAAGATTCTCCATTTCATAGGGGGAGATTTCAACCACTATCCCTTGTAACTCAGTTCCAAGGGGCAAGGTGACAAGGGGTAGGGGTAAAAAAAAGAGATGGGATTGGGCCATTGTTAAGGATGTGACTAAGAAGGCAGAGATAGCGCAGATGCGCAGTCCAAAAACAGTTTCACTGACAAACATGTCGGCACATCGTCCACTAAAGGAAAAATAACCTTGTGCAGGTGAAGATGACGACTCCTCATCAGCATCAGCAACTTTGCACTGGATAGCTTTTAAGTTATCAAAAGAGGCAGCCTCTGATTCTCCTCCAAAAAGAAAACCTATCCATTTGCCTTGGCCGATTTTTAAAAACTAAAACATGTTTTCAAAGGATTTTTGCTGCTAAATGTTTGTGCTTCTTGGTTTTTAGCCTGCTAATCCCAGTGCTACCACATTGAAAATATAAGCCTACAGCCCTGTTATTTTTGGCCAAAGTTCAGCTGTTTTTTCCTTTTTTTGTGGTCAACTGTATATACATTCATTACCTCTTACAGATACTCAGATATCAAAATTAGAATGCACATCCCTAAAACTTGGAATAAAATCTTTCTACATTAACATGCATTAAGATTTAAGAAAGTTCTTTCCTTCTCTTATTAAGATACCATTTTTAAAGTTTCAATAAAGTTGTCATTAACTGAAGAAAACTGGCTTAAACCGGACCAAATCCAAAGAGTTTCACTTCTCATACTTTCCCTCTAAACTTCAATCATGACCTCAGGATGTTATTGACTCCCACTTCCTTTATAGTGGTCAAAAGTCCCTCCCTGCCCTCACCGTAAATCCCCCTGATGGGTATGAAAACACCTGCTCGGGCTCCAAATTACCTGATCAAGTGATAGGACCACGATCAGACAGTGTTCTGCACTTTCTCTGTGGGTCTGCCATGGATTCGGCTCAGCTGGACGCTGGCAATTCCACTAGTGCTTTTCATTTGGCTCTTATGTTCTGCCATGGAGGCCTACACAAAGGCTTTTTCTCTGAGTAACCTGTTGTGAAGCTGGCAGCAAGAAAATGGTTTACACCTCCCACCGATACCATAACCGATCAACATGCAGTGCAGAACAGGTTCATAGATGACTATGCAATAACCGCTGGGAATAAAGAGGTACTCACTGGCGTTGGAAACGTCCTGCATCGTGGAAAATGAGAGTTTAATATTTCTTAAATGCCTTATTTAGTGCTTATGCACGTGTTATGAATTCCCTGTGTACTGTAAGTAGCCTTCAAATAAAGCGTTACTTCACTTATTCAGTCTTCAGCAGTTTAGCCCCACCCATTCATGAAGTCACAGGCAGTGTTGCAGCCAGGGCTGCTTTTTGAATGAGACACAATACAAGGCAGCCAATCAGAATGAAAGTCATTTACGTGTATCAGTTTACTGTATCTGGTATGATAGCCAAAATGGTTCAATGCTAAGGACAAAAGGAGGTTCAAAACTGGTGATGTAAAAAGTTGAGTTATTTTCATCCTACCAGAACAGAACATTCATGCAGTTCAGGAGCTTTTAGAAGTGTATGTAGTGGGTCAATAAGAGTGTATGATTAGCAATCAGTAAGAAGCTGTTTTGCGGACATCAGGATCGAACAATTGATCTTTGAGAATGAGGCGGCTGTAGAGCTGTACCCATAGACTACAACAACAGGCAAAGACTGTAGAGGACACAGTGGAAAACAGCAGGAGGAAGG